CTCCCTCCCTAGTATCATGGGAGTCTATATTCACAGGAAACGAACTGAGGATTTCTCTGGGTGGCTTTACAAATTTGCAATAATTGTACTGTTTTGTACTCCAACTGCAATAAACATTGGATTTGGGAAAAAATTTTCCTTACTTGCAGTTTGGAAACTACCTCCGTGCAATACAATTCAGGTAGAATCCTCATGTGGGCTTTGATGGTACTTAAACATTTTTCCTTTATAATCAAACGCTAATGAAGAGCCTATTTCCATGGTTTATGGAGAAGGTAGGGGTGGTGGTAAGTTATCTACATAAATGTAACAAGTTATTTAGATATAATTCTTTTTGTAAAATTGAAAAGGTACAAAAGCATTACATTTCGCTTTGAAACTACTCAGCAGTTAATGTAGAAGGTACAAATAACAGGTTATTTGTAGAGCCTTAAAAGATAGGTGTTATCTGCTTTGTGTCCTGGAGGAAGGAAAAACAAAATAGTGTTTAAAAAAAAGTGAACTGTTAAAGCAGCATTTCAAGAATGAGCACAGTAACTGGTAAGTGTTACTAAGAATCACCCTATAATTCACTGGAACTGATGAAAACTCCACTCTGGTAGTAAGCATATGAGCATATGACTTGCTTGCCTCATGTCAGACTAGCAACATAATAAAATTGTTCTGAGGTTCAGTTTGCTCTGTGAGTAATACTAAATTGGTACTTAACTAGCCACATCCTAAAATTAAAGTTGACAGCTTGGTTAAAATGGGTTATGGATTCAGTTTTACTGTGTGCCTGAAAGTATGGCCAGATTGCACCTCTCACCCACAGCCAGCTGACACACAGATAGATATCCTAAACTGTTAAAATAAAAAATAAAAAAATTGGGTTGGTGGTTATGGATGGTTCTGTAAGAATGCGGCTGAGAATTGTGACTTTTATAAAAAGTTCTTTTTATGGTAATAAACAACTAAGTGGGGAGGGGTGCAGCAGATCTGTTTTTAAGAATTTCACAAAGCTACAGTCATACGTATTCTTGATGGTTTAATATTAAAGGTTATTTTGTTTCTAAGAAACTGAATAAAGTTAGTTTTGGATATAGGTCAGTAGCTTATTGGAAAATATGAGGTCTGTGGGGTTGTACGTAACATGTATATGTACAGTTAATAAGAGTTGAGCATGTTTATCCCTTTGAGGACACTTCATACGTTGTATTCTTAGATCTTGTTGGCCATTATTTGGTCAAAAGTTAGTCCTAAGTAAAATGCTTTTTGGTTTTGAGTTGCATGCTTTTAGCTCCCTAATTTGAACATAGGCCATCAAAAATCGGAATTAAAGGTTGTAGGGGGTACTCAAGATTGACACCAAAGGGGATATAAGATAGAGTTTCTTTGAAGAACTTTTGAGGACCAAAAGCCTCAAATTTTAAACATCCTAAAGGTTCATATGTAATCATAATTTTAAGAAAGACACAGAGCACTAATACTTGGCTGTATCTTTTAATAGGCATGTCATGTTACCCAGAGAACTTTCCAAACAAGTACCCAAAACCCATCTGATGTCTGAAGAAGAGTGGAGGAGACTCGGTGTCCAACAAAGTCTAGGCTGGGTTCATTACATGATTCATGAGCCAGGTAAGTTTTGCTATAGTAAAGTATTAATTGAGTTAAAACAGTAATGGTTATGGTTGGCAAAATTTTTTTGATGACCTTGACTTTCTATGATATTCCAAGGTAATTCTGTGGTAAGTTTGACTGTTTTTTCAAATGACTTCTTAACCCTCTGGAGAGGGTTCCAATTTCGTAGTAAACCAAACACCCACAGACGCCAAAAAATACTATTCTATTTTAAAATTTGTGTCTTAAAGTATTTTGCCATATGTATAGCTAGAATTCCATTGTATCTACCACATTATGGTTAAATGAGATAACATAGCATATGAACTCAAATGTGCTACCTGTATTATGCATGTACGAATGCCTTATGCTATTATGTGGTATTAACCAAAAGTGTTCCAGATATTAAATAGTAAAATAGACGAACTTTGGAGTTAGATTCTATTTATGGATTAACAGTGAATCTAAAAGTATTATAATCCTTTGAACAAAATTTCATGCCGTAGAAGCTGAAGTAGATGGAAACAAAGCTATCTTGCTTTTTATTCTTGTTAAAGAAAAATAGCATCAGAAACTCTTAAAAGACTCAACTTTCTTGGGGTTGGGTAACATAATTAAAATTCTAGTGTTCTTTCTCTAGCTAATACAAAAGCAACTGAGGAAACTAACTGTAGATTCCTGGGCCCCACCTACTGAAACAATTTATCAAGATGGGCTCCTGGGATCTGCATTTTTGTAAACTCCTGGTGTTTTTCAGTGTGCATTAAGGTGAGATCCAGTAGGTGATTTGAATGAGGTGTCTTTCCCCATAAAGAGATAACCTTTCTCTTTTACTTATTATTCCTTTTCTTCAGAGTGGGTAAACTAAAATATTGGAGGGATCTTCTCATTATCAGGTTGTTTGTCTTGTTTAATGTTGACAGTGACTTTGAAGCAAAATTCATTTAAGACACTTCGAACCAGTTTAATAGCAGACTCAAGTATTTTGGTTTAATTGAGAATTCCTTGAATTTTTGTTGAGTATATGAAAACTCACCATGGTATTAAAATGATACAAAACATTTTCTTTCCACAGAACCGCATATTCTTCTCTTTAGACGACCTCTTCCAAAAGATCAACAAAAATGAAGTATACCTGGGATCGTCAATTAAATCTTTTTCAAATTTAATGTATATGTGTATATAAGGTAGTATTCAGTGAATACTTGAAAAATGTACAAATCATTCATCCATACCTGTGCATGAGCTGTATTCTTCACAGCAACAGAGCTCAGTTAAATGCAACTGCAAGTAGGTTACTATAGGGTGTTTAAGGTAAAATTTCTTCTAGTCAGTTTTTCTCTTAATATAAGTGCCTGTTTGACTTTATCTGTTACTTTTTGTTAAATAAAGTTTGTACGTTGCATTTACCACTGTTTGAAGTTACCGAGGAATATTTTCTTATGGTTAATTTGTGACTATTGAGATTGTTTGATTTCAGTTTTATAATTTTAGCCCTGAGGAAATAAAATGTTGAATGAGTATATAATAGCTTGGTATGATGGAGGTAACATTTAATTCACTTAGGAAGAAACTAAGAAACCAGGGATATGTTTAAAACTAGAGCCAAAGTAGATTTTAACACTTTATTGTTTTGTTCCTAGAGAATTATCTAGAATCTTCAGTTGAACAGAAAAGCCCAACTTAATAGTATCTGGGCTACTTCCACTTACCTGAGAACTGCCACTAACTTCTAGCAGTCTTGGGAGAAACCCTTAACCCTGTTTATCCTTTTCTCCATTTCCTAAGTGGGAATGGTGTTTCCTATAGCTTTTTTTTTTTTTTTTAAGAGATGAGGTCTCACTCCTGCTTAGGCTGGTCTTGAACTCCTGAGCTCAACCATTCCTCCCGCCTCGGCCTCCCAGAGTGCTAGGGGATTATAGGCATGAGCCACCAGGCTCAGCCCTCCTATAGCATTTTTTAAAAGTTAAAAAGTACTGTAAAACATGTTCATATGCCCTATGTATTTTGCATCTATTTAGATTGCCTATTTAGTTAGCTGCTAGGAAAATGTTGAGTTAAATGCTGACATAGACTAGTTTACCTTAGTTGATTGCTATATTAGAGAAAACATAAGACCCCCTCTGTTTAGAAAGGGTGTCGTTATATGTAATCAGCACAGTAAATATTGAAGGTGGTGATGAGCAGCAGCCTAGAATCTACTCCCAATCTCCACTGTCACTGCCACAGGACACCTCATCTGGAAAGCTCCAGGATGACAAAGACAAAAATGCCAAAATTAGGTAAACTTCATCGCACTCTTAGGGTAAACCCAGTACTGCTGAGAGGGAGGGGTGACAGCCACCCCTCGACCTCCAGCATAGATTGTTGCCAGACCGTAGGCTTCTGTCCTGGAGGTCGGGTGTATCCAGGCATGCTTAGTAAACTTGTGGGACCCACTAGGACCGAAATGTGGTAAAGAACTGGAGCTGCTGCCTGCATTTCCTGTGTAAAATAAACACCTGGTAGGGTTACTCAGTCTGCAGGCCACGGAGGAAACCTACAACTTGCCTCAACCTAATAAACCCTCTACGGGTAAATGGCCTACATTGCTGGCAAACATTTTCTGTCCCTTAAATCCCTTTGCACCTTCCTTTAAGCTTCAGAGCAAAAAGGAAGTTCCTCCTCCAACTACTGAAAGACACTCTGCAGTCTTCGGGGTACGTCTCTGGTGAGCCATCTTGTCCTTGCAGCACCCTGCACATTTCTCAAAGTATTTGGTTAAGTTCTCCCCTTCTGTAGAGCTCTTTCCCACCCGCACAAATCATACTACTTTTCTATTTACCACATCCTAGCACATTTTTTAATGTTGGAATGAAACAGCGATTTTGGAATTAAAGTTCTTTCCGTGGTTACTTTCAAACCTTAAAGTTTCTGGGAATTCAGGACGCCGGTAGTCTTGTAGGCTTTCCAGATCTGTAGGACTTACCGGGCGCACAATTCCCCTAAGTCACCTTATGAAATCTCAGGGAAATGCAGTCGTGGAATTGGGGTCAGGTTCTCCCCACAGTTCCCTTACTATTAAGCGTTCTTAAGGTGACTGCTCAACACAGCCAGAGGCCTTTCCAGGCCACCTTATCCAAGGAACCTTCCTGTCTGATGCCAGACCCAGAGGACACGAGCGAACCACGGCCTCATGCTAAGTTTCTCTTTGCTACTGCCTCGGCAGAATCTATCGCAGACAGCCCGGCACTGCAGGGCACACATGAGGCTCCTGTGGTCTACACTGAGGCCCTAGCCCAGAGGACTCTTAGGGGTCACTTCCCCAGTAACCACGTGCTGCTCGCGGAGGTGCGGAACACACGCCCCGTACTTCCGGCCGGAAGGAGGGGTGGACCCCGTCGCGTTTCTGTGACGCACTTCCTGGCGTCCCCTCCGAAGGCGGAAGCGCCGCTTCGTCTGTCGGGTCAGCCGACGGGCTGGCTGCGGGCCTCACCCGGCGCGGCCTCCTCCGAGCAGCCCGCCATGGCGTCGGAGGGGCCGCGAGAGCCCAAAGGCGAGGTAAGGGCCGCCCGGGCCGGCGGGCGCTCCTTCGGCGGCCTCAGCCCGTCGGCCCTGTTCGCCCCGGGGTCTTGGTCGTGCGGTGACGGGGCCGGCCCGCTGGGCGGGGGCCGGAGGCTTGTGACGGCGCGGGAGCGCGGAGTGGGCGGCCGCGATCCGTGCGTCCCGCCCCGGGCCCGCCTGGGGGCGGCGGTCGGGGCCGCAGACACCACCCACGGGTAGCGCCGCATCTGGGTTGTGGTGCCACACGGGCCAGTGACGGCTGTCCTGTCCCAGCACGCCCAGGGGTCACGGCACGGGACTCCGGCAAGCTTGTGGCGCTCTTGGGAAGTAGTTTGTTTAAAGCGTCCTTAATTTTCTTAAACGTCGTCTCTGCGCTGCATACTCAACGTTGCCGCTAGATGGAGCCCTGGCAATCGCATCCATTAGTTTTAGACTTAAAAACCATGGCTGTGAAATTCTCAGTGAAAGTAAATCTCTTACTACATATCTTAAAAACTTTAAAAAATTTCAAATCTCAAAGGCCCATAGCCATAGGATGATTTTTTTTTAGCAAAGCAAGCTTTTGCTTTTTCAGTAAAACAAGATGGTGGTTCATGAGTAAAAAGCAAATGTTTTGGGGCAACTTTTTTTTGAGAAATTTAATGGAATAAACATTCCACGTCTGTATTTGACTACAGTAATTCTACAGTTCTTGGTTATCCCTAAGTAAAGCTGAGAGAGATGAAATATCCTTATTCCAAATTTAAAATTGTGGAAACGGCAGTTGTGGTCCTAACTGTGTAATCTGGCTTGAATTTTATTTTCACTTTAATTGGTTGTCCACATTTTTCACTGTTACTACTTGGATGACCGGTTTTTCTAACAAAAGAAAGCATTTGAGAGAAATTGTTAGCAAATGAATTCTTGTCTCTACTAGACAGAAGTTTTTAAACAACAGCATTGGGATTAGCATTTCTGGGCCTGTTAGAAAGGAACACCTCTCTTTGGGTTTTTTGTTTTGTTTACTTTTGGTTGATTGCAGAATGAAGCCAAAACCCCATTTTTTTCCCCTCAGGGCATCAAGTTATCAGCAGATGTCAAACCGTTTGTCCCTAAATTTGCTGGGCTCAATGTGGCATGGTCAGAGTCCTCAGAAGCATGCGTCTTCCCTAGCTGTGCAGCCACATACTATCCGTTTGTTCAGGAACCACCAGTGACAGAGTATGTATCTTTCAAAACGTCTTACCTTACCAGGGGGCTTATTTCTAGACTTAATGGTGATTAGGCTTTCAAATATGCTAACACAGAAAAATCCTGCAGATGGCAAGAGAATGCTCTTCAGCCAAGGAGGGTCTGAGCCAGTAGTATCACAGCTTAATGGTATCCGGTGCCCAAAACTGGACTTTTACTCCTTTTTTTCTCCATACTCATTCTGTTATTTTGGGTAAAGAAAAGGGAGGCTACATTGTATTTATTAGTAGGAAATGCAGTTTCAGGGTTCATTGGTTCATACAGTATATCGTGTATCTAATGAGAGATGAAATGGCAGGAAGAACCAAATAAACATGCTCCTCATATTTAAGGTTTGACATTTTAAAATCTTGTTCACGGAAGGGGTGGGTACTAGCAACCATGGCTGCCTCTGTGTATAATTCCTTGGAAATTGCTGGCTTTTGCTTTCAGCCATTTTGCTTCATATATATTCTGTGGAGATGGGTTTCACAAATTTTGGGTTTAAATTCTTCTAAATTAAATTTGAGTTGAAGGAAGGTTTAAGTTTTTCTTTAAATCTTCTTTTTCCTTCTCAAGATTCATTCTCTAGGTATTTACAAACTGGGTTCTACTTTTAGCTGAATTTAGAAAAACAAGTGTTAATCTTTCATGTAATTGTGTAGATTTATTTGTAGATCTATTATAAGGTCTGCATCAGCTTTAGTTCTTATGTAAGAATCTTTCTGCTTTATGTTCCTTGGATATGGTTCAGACTTGTTTCCTTTTTATGTGTGGGCATGGTCTGATTAAAAATAGTTTGTACCGCCCATAAATTCTGTAATTATATTTGCAAGAATGAAAGTTGGAATAAGAAAATTATTGAGATGTCTGGTGTATTTAGGAAATACTGAAAGTTGTATTTATTGACAATAGTTGAAATCCTACCTTTATGTGCTGGGATTTGGCATTTGGTAGGAATTTCCAATTTTTCCACTATAGTCTCATCTTTTATAAAGGGGAGGTTGGCATGGGTCTCATTTGAGTTGTTCCCTGGCTTGGGTGTCTCCCATTAAAAAAATACAAAAATGTATGTCACACTCTGAGAAGAACTCAAAGCCATCTGCTAGGTGGTATTCCAGAATGGTGGTTACTCAGAATGGTGGTGGAAAACATTCATATGGCTAAAGCAACATTTTAACAGTAACATGAGTGGACACTAATCAGAGACTCAAGGATGTATGGTGCTGAATTTCAAAATTAAGCTTCTTAACCCCTTGTCCTTTTTTAGATTTGATTTTTTAAAAATTGTTTATCACCAAGGAAAAAATAGGCTTACAATATTCACTGCTGGCAAGAAAACAATTAAGGATAAAGGAGGTATTAAACCAAACAGTAAGGGTTAGAAAGGAAAAGAGCCTTTAAAGTAGGGATGAAATGATGTGACTTCACATAGTTGAGAATCAATTACCCAGTCAGTTCTAATATAGATTAAAAATTGCATTGCTATAGTCAGATTATGTATAAATAGAGATCTCTTCCCTCTGTCAAAAAAGGACTAGAATTTTCTGAAACAAAACTATGTCCTCTTTCTTACTTGTTCCACCACATAGCAACCTAAATCATCTTTAGGTATCACTTCCATCATCTTTCCTTAAAGGAGGCATAGTAACCTTTCACAGAATCTGTCCCCTCCAGTACCTTTACTGCACTGGAAGATACTTCATTTATTCATTTGGAATTAATTATCGAAAGGCTACTGTATGGAAAGCACTATATCTTAAAGGAGGAAAAGACTTCTCATGAGCTGTGCTCCTCTTTTTGTCAGTGTTACATAGACTTGAACTGATGGAGATGAAAACAAATATACCAGTCTCCTCCAGACTTTCTTATAGGACAGGCAAGTATCAATAGAAGTCATCTGATATATAGCATTGGCCTTGGAAAATACTGATTATTTACTGATGTAATGAACAAATAAAAGCCTGTGCAAGCAAAGTAAGTTCTCTGCTCCACGTGATGTCCACAGTTGATGACTTTATTGATTATCATAGTATTAGGTCACGGAATATGAAATGTCTGATTTCAAATCAAAAGTATAGTTTATTATATCTCAGATAGGAAGCAGTACAGTTAATCAAAGAATGCACCTAAATTGTCACTTGTTCATGCCAGCAGCGAAGGAGCCTGGAGAGCGAGTGGTGATGAAATCATGAAAGGCGTTTTCCACAGCTTGTTGAGAATTGAATGTTTTTCCTTGCAAGAAGTGGCCCGGAAGAAGTGGGAGTCAGTTGGTGCAAGGTCTGGTGAATACGGTGGATGACAGAGAGTTTCCGTGTCCAGCTCCTGTAGTTTGAGCAGCATTGTTTGTCTGACACTTGGTCAAGTATTGTCTTGCAAGAGGATTGGCCTGTCTCTATTGACCAATCTTGGCTGCTTCATCACAAGCATCATCATCATTTCATCCAGTTGAGTGCAGTAGACATCTGCTGTAATCAATGGACCAGGTTTCATGAAGCTGTAGTGGATAATACCAGCTCTGGACCAAACAGACACCATTAGCTTTTTTTGATGAATATTTGGTTTTGGATTGTGTTTCAGCACTTCATCTTTATCTAACAATTGTGCCAAATGCTTGCAATTGTCAAAAAGAATCCATTTTTTATCACATACAACAATATGGTGTAAAAATTGTTTGCCTTTATGTCATGACAGCACAGAAAGGCAAGCCAAGATGATTTCTCTTCTGACATTCATTTAATTCACATGGAACCCATCTATCCAGCTGCTTTTACCTTGCTGATTTGTTTCAAGTGGTCCAATATTGTTGTAATAGTAAAGTCAGACCTTGCTGCTAATTCACACGTAGGTTGAGATGGATTCACTTCCACTACAGCTTTCCGCTCATCATTATCCACCTTGGTCTTGGGTCACTCACATGGCTCATTTTCAAGATTAAAATCACCAGAATGGAACTTCTCAAACCATCCACATACTGTGCATTGGTTACCACATCCTTCCCAAAAACGTTGTTATTTTGAGCTGTCTACGCAGCATTGGTTCCATGATAGAACTTATATTTGCAAATAACATGAATTTTTGACTTATCCATGGTTTCACAAAAATTGCTGTAAAAGGAAATTTGAAAGATAATCACAAGCCACAATGTATGTTTGAGAGACTGAGGATATACCGTCATAATACAAATAAAACAAGAAGTGTCAAAGTGAAATGTCAGAGATATCAACTGTCAAACTTAGTACTTAAGGAAATCCGACATTTCATGCTTAATAATGTAATATATCCTTTATGACAAATCCTGTGCAACACGTGCATGAGGATGTGTACATTTTGTTTGGGAATTATTGTATACTTTCACTTCTTTCATGCTTACTACAGTCAGTGAGGTTGGCAGAGAGATATAATGTTATTTTTACTCATGAGAAACTGAGGCTAGAAAAGTTTGTCCATACTAATTCAAATAAGTAGTGTCAGAACCAGAATTAGCATTCAGATCTTTTGACCTAAGTGAGTTTAATCATGGTGTTCTCCAGAACTGCTGCTTTTGACAAGAGGTAGTTGAGCATCAGTATCTTGCAATATATTGCAGAAATTTCAGAAAGCAGCAGTTGATGCTTTTACATTAAAACATCAGCTGTGAGAAGAGCTAGCACATAGCCTAGCAGTATACAACATTGCACGGCTGAGTACCTGGCTTCAGTCAGTTTGGTGGGTGGGGGAGATTCTGGATCCCCTCAGGGTCCTGGCCTGACTGAAGGGACCATGTGCACGGTGTGTTTGTTTGGAAGACAGTAGAGGAATGAGGGGAAATTGGTAGAGGAAGCTGTCAGTAGATTGGAAGGCTACATAGTACAGCTGAAAAGTTTAGATCGGTCTGCTGAGTAGGAAATAGGGACCTTTTGGTGGTACTTTGAATGGAGTTATGATAATCACTCCTGAGTTCTGGTTCTGTTTTAAGGAAGCAGGGCTTATAGGTTTTGACCAGGTTCCAGGCACTAGAAATAGCAAAGAAAATACATGAGAGACCTGCTACAAGGAAAAAAGGCTCCACCATGGTCCATACAGGTTTTGGTGGGAAAGATATTATAAAGGTCTCCAGTTGAATACATGGAAAGAATTGTGGGATCATTCATGAGCACAGAAGTTGGAAATGGTGCTGGTTTGGGGACTAGAGAGTAGGTTTGGGATTTATATGTGCTAGATTGGGAAAGAGTGAAATATTAGGTGGAAATGACCTGTTAGTTGGAGATGGAGGCCGAAAGCTGGTGAAGGTTCTGGGTAGTTTGTATTTATATGAAGTCCTGAACAGAGTGACGAGAGGTTCCAACTCAGAATGAGTCTGAAAGGTGAGATGGAGGGGTGCAGAGGAGACCGCTCTAGGGAAGGAGACAGAGGAGGGGCCTTGGAGGGTGGGCGAGAACCAGGAGAGGGTCGAGTTCGCAGTCCAGGCCAGTGGAGCTTTCCAGGTCAGGTGATAGAAGGGCCAGACCTAACCCCTGGCAGGAGAAAGGCGAGAAGGAGGTCCTGAGAGACCTGAAGGCTGTTGAGGCATGTATTGCACAGATAGGTAGGCAGGTTAGCTTTACTGGGGACAAGGCAGGGTAGGACAGTGCCTGTAAAACAGGTGTGTTGTTCAGGGTCATCCGAACAGCTCGTGGCATCTGGAATTTTCCAGACAAGCCATTTGAAGCCTCACCGGATGCTGTGAGTTATCTCTTTGATATTTTGTATTGTGTGTTCTCTGCATGTCGTCGTGTTTGCACTGGAGGGAAATGAAAAATCCCAATTTTCCAGAGAAAGAAGGACCAGTGAGGGGACAGAAACCCAAATGACTTGTGCAGGGTGGAAAGCTAGATGGTGATAGAGTCAGAACCCCAACCAAGGTCTTCTGACTCATGGATGGAAATTTTCTGGATGACAACAGCCTTCAGAACCACATTGGACCCTGCCCCTCCTTTTTTTTTTTCCCCTGCTGTCAACCCATCTTCTTTGCCCATCTTCTCTTATGAAGAACAGATTCTTCACTTTCACCTGAAACCTGCCCTCCGGTAGATTTTCTGAGCCGCAAGCAAAATAAGGCACAGAATTCACAGGAGTATATAGGCAGTGGGTGAAGCTTTGAATCTCCCTCTTCTCTACGAAGAACTAGTGCTCAGTGCTCTGTTTGGGGCAGTACTAGGCCAGGTGTTCTGGAGGACAGAAAAATGTCAGTGGAAAAGGTTTGGTTTTTGATTAGGAATATTTCATTTTTTGAATGAATTGCCTATAAGTAAAAGATCTTACAAGATCTAAGTTTATTACAAAATATGAACTAGCACACAGTGATACAAGGCAGTGTATAATTAAGTGCTGGATAGAAGTGAAAGCAGTAAACATTCTTAGCGTGTTATAGGTAGAGATGGTGGCACCTTTTCTTACCCATTGTAGGCTTTTACTTGGAAAGATTAGAAACGTGATTTCTGGTAAGTGGTGCCCGTGTGCCTGTCTCCTGACACCCGACAGTTTGAACGTCATACAGGGTGTGTTATGATTAGGTTTGGATTTTCTGCCTTTCGGTGTACCAGTATGCTTTGGTATAGCTCTGGAAATTCACAGAAACATCTGTTGGTGCTTATTCGTGGGAATGAGGGGTTACGATTTGAATTTTAACTCAGCTGCTTAGCATTTTGTCATTGTATCAGCTTTCGTTGGAAAATGGTTGAAATCTCTAACTTTGTACCAGATTTGCTTAAAGAAAAATCAGTGTTACATAATATTTCGGCTTAGTCTTGTAGCTTGAACAAATTGAAGCAATTGCAGTTTTCAGAGACGGCATTTTTTCTCGTCAGTTGGCTGTGTGGTTCCCTCGTAGTGTCCCCTTCGCACTCTGGCCCTGAGAGTCGGCACGGCACAGGATGTTGTGTTGGCCTTGGGGCAGGGAGGGCTGGAGAAGAGTGGCTGCAGGCCCCAGAGGCCTCTGAACGGAGGCACTGCTGGCTGTTGGGCACCCTCCCAGCAGAGAGGGTGGTCTTCTGGGCCATTTTGGCCAGGTCGCTAAGAGAGGCTTTCCCCGTACTTGACAGAGGAGTGGGAAAGCTGCCCACGCGTCCTCTGGCTACGCCGATGTTTCTTGCAGACTTCTGGCTCGTTAGTGAAAAATACAAACTGGTTAACATCTTTCTTTGCAAGATGAGAAAGAAAGGCTCAAAGGTTTTATTTGACTTTTGATAGGGACATTTCAATGCTAAAGTGAATGATCTCAAAAATACTGAATATTAACAAGTTAGAATTTGTTTATTATAAAATATTAAACCTTTTGGTTTATAGTGTAAAATGTGCAACTAAAATTTACACTTTCATTTAGACGGAAAATATATCCTGAAGATATGGCCTTTGGAGCTTCCACTTTTCCACCTCAGTATTTATCTTCTGAGATAACTCTTCATCCATATGCCTACTCTCCCTACACCCTGGACTCCACGCAAAGCGTCTGCTCAGTGCCTGGCTCCCAGTGTGCCTATAACCAACCCAGTTGTTACCGAAGTTTTCAGACGGTGAAACCCCGGAATGAGCACATGTGCCCTCTCCCACAAGAAACGAAAGCTCTGTTGAAGGTGAATAAACGCTGTGGTTTCACTGTGTTCTTGAGTTGGTTGCTTTAGCATTTAAAATACCAAGAATTTTGGTAAATTTTTGCATATTTAAGCATTGTGTATCTTTTTGTGGTATTTAACCTTTTTAAGAATGATTTGGTCTGATCTTTTTAAAAATGACTGAATTGTGAATACTTAATAATTTGCTATTTTAAACCTTTTTTTGTAGTGGTGGTTTTCTTATTTCATGTTGATTTTTAAACTTTCCTGCAGAAAAAAACCTATGATGAGAAAAAAACGTACCATGAGCAAAAGTTGGATGGTAAAAGGGTGGATGGAACTCTGTCATCTGAGAGCAGCTCAGCTAAAGAGTCACGTCATTTGTCTGTTCATGCTGAGAATACTTTGAAATCAGGTAAAAGCCACCAGCTTTATAGTATGATGCTGGCCTACCCATCTACCCCAGAAATGCTGCTGTTCTTTGTGTGACTGTTGCCGTGGGGTGGTTCACTGTGGCTCTCACTGACGTGAGAGCCAGGAGACCTGGAGCCTGACACAGTGTGAGGGCATCAGACTTCCCTTGCAACTCTGGAGGCCTTTCCTCCCAGGGAAGGGATTATTGCATGGTACCTGTTGCATGGTGGGCTCTGAAGGTGTCATGACCTTGTTTTACACACGAAAAATTTGTCTGAGGTCACATAGCAAGTAGGTGATGACCCCTAGCCTCAAAACATGTCCTTAAATAAAAGCATATTACAGCCACATCCTTTGTACTGTATTTGACCATATTCATTCATGAACTAGCTTCTCTGATGTTCTGTTGGAAGACTTTCAATAGGTGGGAGAATTGGACTATGGTTTCAGTCCCATCCTGAACGATAACTGAACCTGGGCATTGTGGTTACTCAGAGGATACCACGTTGATTTGTGCTGTAGGCATGTCTACTCTGGGCTTGAAAACTCTCATTCTGGCTTGTGGCCAAAAGTTAATGATTCTACATGATGCCTTGTTTTTTTCCCTGTAAATTATTTACTGCTGTCGTTGGGTTAGAGACATAACCTATTTATATGCTAAAACCTTCTGCCAGTTTATTTACATGTATAATTTATATTACTTGGCATATAAACTTTTCTCTTTCCAAAGACTTTACTCACAAACCATCTGGTAAAAGGAAAGATTAACTGTTAACTGTAGTTGCTCTGGCCTTGCAATTAAAGGAGGGGCTTCATGGTGCAGCAGTCTACCTGGATGACGATCCACTGAGTGTCAGGAGAAAGATGGAAAGAGGTTATGAGTTTCGTGCTGCCTGCCTCCAGTTTGTTCCAGCAAACTGAAAAATGGAAAGCTTGTTACTACAGGAAATTTGTTAAGTCCCTTCGAATTTGCAAAACTCTGAAATGTATTTTAAGAATAATTAAAGGCCAGGTGCAGTGGCTCACTCCTGTAGTCCTGGCACATTGGGAGGTCAAGGCAGGAGAATCTCTCAAGGCCAGGAGTTTGAGAACAGCCTGGACAACATAGCAAGACCCCATCTCTTAAAAAAAAAAAAAGAATAATTAAAAATCTCAGCTGTACAATCAGGTTAAGGTGACTATTTCATCAGCCTTAGAATTACAGTCTGGGGATATGTTTCTGAGAATCGGATCCTTAGGCAATTTCATCATCATGCAAACGTAGAGTGTGCTTACACAAACCTAGATAGTATAGCCTACTACACACCTAGTCTATATGGTATAGTTTATTGCTCCTAGGCTACGTACCTCTCAGCGTGTTGCTGTACTGAATACTGTAGGCAATTATAGCACAGTGGTAAGTATTTATGTATTTAAATGTATCTCAGCATAGAAAAGGTATACAGTATAAAAGATAAAAAAATGGTACACCTGTGTGGGGTACTTACCATGAACAGAGCTTGGAAGTTGCTCTCGGCGAGTGAGTGGTGAATGAGTGTGAAGGCCTGGGACACTGCTGTACGCTGCTGTAGACTTTAACAACACTGTACACGTAGGCTACACTGACTTTATTAAAAAGTTTTTTTCTTCAATAATACATTAACTTTTGTTTACTGTGACCTTTTTACTTTATAAACCTTTGAATTTTTTACATTTTTGACTCTTATAAATATGACTGTACAGCTGTATAAAAAATTCTTTATGTCCTTATTCTGTAAGCTTTTTTCTATTTAAAAAATTTAATTTTTTTAACTTTTTGAACTTTTTGTTCAAAACTAAGACACAAAACATACACATTAGCCTAGGTCTACACAGGGTCAGGATTATCAGTATTATTGTCTTCTCCCCTCCACATCCTGTACCACTAGAATGTCTTCAGGGGCAGTAACACTCATGGAGCTGTCATCTCCTGTGGTAATAGTGCCTTTTGCTGGAATACTCTCTTGAAGGACCTGCCTGTGGGTGATGACCACCAGCTTCAAAACATATCCTTAAATAAAAGAGGTGTGTAGCCTAGGAGCAATAGACTGTTTTACAGTTAACTGTTTTTTTTTTTTTTAATAACTAGGAATACACTCTAGAATGATAAAAAGTGTAGTGTAGTAGATACCTAATAAACCAGTAACATAGTAGTTTATTATCATTATCAGGGTATTACACCTGTACATATATGTGCATGTGCTGTAGTTTTATATGGCTGGCAGTGAAGTAGGTTTGTTTACACAGCATGACTACAAACACGTGAGTAATGCATTTGTTGCATTGCATTGTTACAAAGGGTGTGACGTCACTAGGTGATAGGAATTCTTTAGCTCCATTATACCACCATTGTATGTGCAGTCCATCATTGGCTGAAATGTTACGGGGTTCATGACCATACTCCTAAAATTTGCAGTGCATTTTGGTTTCTCTGCATGATGGCCCGACCAGAGTGACTGATACTTCTGGTCATTTATGCTTTACACTTTTGCAAAGGAGAGTAAGAACACTAGCAAAAATAAAGATGTATTGACAGGAATCTCTTGCATCAATATCAATAGACTTTCTATTCTGCAATTTAAGCGTAAGTACTGTATGGTCATCAAATGGTATCTAAATTTTTATTCCTTTTAATTCTGTAATTACAGATGCTTATCATAAACGAACAGACAGGAAATCCAGCATCATTGCAAAGGGTGGATCTGCCTCTAAACCTGAGTTTGAATTTACTAGGTTGGATTTCCCTGAACTGCAGGGTCCAGAGAACAATAATATGTCAGCAGTACAAAAGCAACCCAAGTGGGGACCTGTCTGCTCCACCTCGACGGACATTTCTCTTCTAAGAGAAGTGGTAAAATCATCTACCTTGTTATCAGAGGTGAGTTGAGGATTGGTTTCTTTCACTTTCTCTCTCTCTTTCTCCTCAGTAAATGCCTTTTCAGTTACATCCCTTCAGACACTACACTTTAAATCTTGATGTGGGCTGTGAAGTCCATGGAGCTGGGGAGGCGGTATTGGGGGGAGGCCTTTTATCATGCATGTGGATCACTTTCTCTGTTATTGGAACTGTTTACAGTGAGGCTGTCACACCTAGTATAGCTATTCTTTTAAAAGAGTCACCTAGGCCAGGCGTGGTGGCTCACGCTTGTAATCCTAGCACTCTGGGAGGCTGAGACGGGAGGATTGCTTGAGGCCAGGAGTTCAAGACCAGCCTGAGCAAGAGTGAGACCCCATCTCTACTAAAAATAGAAAAAATTAGCCAGGCATGGTAGTGCGCACCTGTAGTCCCATCTACTCAGGAGGCTGAGGCAGGAGGATCACTTGAGCCCAGGAGTTTGAGGTTGTTGTGAGCTAGGCTGACGCCACAGCACTCTAGCCCAGGTGACAGAGCAAGACTATCTCACAAAAAACAAAAATAAAAAATTAAAGAGTTACCTAATAAACTTGTTTTCATTTGGAATTGTAAAAGGTATTGTGCTACAGAAGGAAAAGGTTCTAGCAAAGTCTAGCTGCTTTGACAGCCCATTCTGAACATGCTACTCCTGGCATTGCATTCTGACAGCACATTTTCCAATACAGAGAAAAAGACTTTTTAAAAAATGGAATAGTAATATTTAAAACTACATAGTGTTTCTTATGAATTTTCCAGGCTTTTTATGTAAATCCCTGTCTTGCTAATGAAACTGCAAATTCAGCAAAAATTATTGCAGTAGGTGCTTTCAGTTTGTTGTCTAATAATTTTAAGTTACACTATATTCAGCATTCAGTCTCAAAGTTTTAGTTCCCCACATTGAGGCATTTTCCTGGGTTGATTTGAGACTTCCGGGAAAAAATGGTATTGGACTAGTAGTCTCTAAAATGGCTTCTGACAAATTTCCACTGAAGAGAGAGGCGGGGTACATGCTGGTAGGAAGGCAAGGAGAAGAAGGATAACAAAACCGAGCTCACCAATTCGCTTACCTCTTGAACTGAGAAAGGATTTCTGTTTCCTGTCCTTGGACTCGTCTTAGATGCCTTAGAAAGACTCAGTAGCAGTGCAGAATATACACCATCGGGTAGCATTTCCTCTGCAGGACCCTTACACTGTTTCACCGCAGTGCCTTCCCGTTAGAGAGATGTGAAAAGTCAGCCAGACTGATGGCTGACTAAAAATCACAGTGGCGTCAGGCAGATGTGTGTCTGCCTCCTGGGCCCCAGAGTGGGTGTGTGCAGTGGCTGAATAGTCATGGGGGTCCCCGTCTTCATCACATGCAGAGTTTCGTGAGTGCCCCACAGACACAGTGCAGGATGCCGTCTGAGCCTCAGGGTAGGTGCATGGGGTGGGTGGGAGCATGGCTGATGCTTTATGTCGAGGTCACCTGTTACCTGTGACTGTTACATTCTATTATATATTCACACACTTTTGAATTATATGTCTGCTTTTTGTTTTAGTTTCCCTTGTAACAAAATTTTTTTCCTGATATTAATAGTGTCTATAAATGACAGAAAAATATTAAGGAAAACAGAAAATATAATTGTCTGAAATTGTACAGCCAAGAGAAAACCATGCTTAGCACTTAATCTTTTTTTTAATGGTCTGTTGTGGGAATTGAAGAGGTTTCCCCTCAACTTGGGATTATAAGCATGAACAGCCCTTTATTTGAATTTGTAAGAACTGTTTTTGGCATTTTTCCCATGTCACTGAATATTTTTTGAAAACAAGTATTGCATTTGATCTCTCATATTGATATGTGTATTTTATTTAACCATTCTTGAACAGGTAAACCATTTCTATTTTTTTATTGGCCTTGGTGAGCATAACAGTTATATTTACTAAAAGAAAGCTATGTTTTAATAATTTTATTTTTTTAGTGGTCTCAGATGTAAGGAGATGGCAATGGGAAAATATGAAGCATATGAATTTTAAAAATTATTTTAAATCCTTTGTGTGCTTAATGGATTCAAATTTGAATTTATCAATTGACTTACCTCTGGCATGGGTCACTTTGAGTTGTCTTTTGATACACTCACATGCCCCCTTCATATACATACATTTGTGCCTTATGTCCAGCGTGTGAGGCAGCTTTCTGTCTCTGTGAAAGGGGGCATGTGCCACAGGCTTACGTTTGTGGACATTTTGGCAGACTGTTTTGGACTTCGGTGTGTGGGCCTAGTGAATGATGGCTTTCTCATGCATGTAGGAGGACTGCAGCTTTAAGAACTGTGTGCTGCAACTGCACTGGCCTGGAAAGTTGCCAGTGGCATATTAAGTTTTTAAAAAAAGGCTGTACAATATTACATATGGTATGATCCCATTATTGGGAATCCATATGGAAATGATGTACAAATGTTTATATCATAGGCAAAGAAATAGAAGGATACTAAGCTATGGACGGTAGATGATTTTTTTCCTGTTAGGACTAAGATTTGGTAGAAGGAAGTAATTTAACTTTTCACATTATAGATTTACATATTTTGAATTTTTAGTATATATTTTGCAGATTTTAAGAATGGCAAGGGAAGCTATATTTTAAAATTAAATGGTTACTTTCAGTTTGAAATAGTAAGAAAATAACTGCTTTGGCTTTTTTTTAGTTAAGTAAACTTTATTTTTTAGAGCAGTTTTAGGTTCACAGCACAGTTCAGAGGAAAAGACAGAGATTTCCCACATATCTCCTGCCCCCTGCCATGAACAGACTCCCTTACTATCAACATCCTGCACCAGAGTGGTGCATTTGTTAGAAATGATGAACCTACATTGACACATCATCACCAACGTCCATAGTTGGCATTGGGGTTCACTCTTGGTGTTGTATCTTCTGCAGGTTTGGACAAATGTATAATGACATGTGTCTGCCATTGTAGTATGATTACAAAAAGTTTCACTGCCCTAAAAATCCTCTTTGCTCTGCCTCTTTATCCCTCCTTCCCCACATCCTCTGCCAACTACCGATCTTTTTATTGTCTCCACAGTTTTGCCTTTCCCAGAATGTCATATAGTTGAAATCATACAGTATGTAGCCTTTTCAGATTGATTTCTTTCACTTAGTAATGTGCATTTAAGTTTCATCTATGTCTTTTCATGCTTGATAGCTCATTTCTTTGTAGTGCTCAATAATATTCCATTGTATGGATGTACCACACGTGTTTATCCATTCATCTACTGAAGGTCATCTTGGATGCTACCAAGTTGTGGCAGTTATGAATAAAGCTGCTGTAAACATCTGTGTGCAGGTTTTTGTGTGGACATAAATTTTCAGCTCTTTTGGGTAATTACCAGGCTGTGCCATGGCTAGACCATATGGTAAGAGTATGTTTAGTTTTCTAAGAAATTGCTAAACTGTCTTCCTAAGTGGCTATACCATTTTTCATTCTTACCTGCAGTGAATGAGAGTTCCTGTTGTGAGTGTTCTGGATTTTGGCCATTCTAATAGGTGTGTACTAGTATCTCCTTGTTTTAATTTGTACTTCCCTGATGACATCTAATGTATTTGCTTTTTAGGGTGAAATGGTGGTGAAAAATAATCCAGATGAATGTGTGACTACTAATGCTGCCTCCAGTTCCCCTTGTATGAGAGGTAAGAGTAGCTACAAAACATTATTTTTAAAAATGAGTTTTATGTTTTCTAAGTTCATTTTTTTTAAGACTAGTCAATTGCAGTAGTGAGAAGAGGGGAAAGAGTAGAATGAGTTTGATCTGTAACTGACTGTGAACAATTAATTGAGGTAATTCACTGCCTCTGGACCAGCCTCTGGAGTTAAAAAAGTTCATTTTTAACTCCAGTGTAATCAGAATGGTTTTTGTTCGAAAGCCTTCTTAAAGACAGCTAACGCATTGTTAGTAACCTAACATTAATGTTAATTTAGAAAATTAAAGTAATTAAATGAGATCCCCCATCCATGCACAAGGAATGTAAAATAAGAGACAAGAATTCCAAATGAAATATACATCCAGTTAAGTGAGAAATTTTATGAACTCAGAAATGACTCCTTCCTTCAGTATTACCTATTCTCAAAAGTTTTTGGTCTTAGGACCCCTTAATACCCTTAAGAATTGAGAGCCCCAAAGAGCTTCTGTTATTTAGGTGAAATCTATCAATGTTTGCCCTATTCAAAGTTAAAACAAATTTTAAAAGCATTAATTTGCTTCAAAGTAACAATAACAAATGTATTATATTTTAACATAGCATATTTTTATGAAAACCATTTTTCAAAATTAAAAAGCTACAGTAGACAGCAGTCTTGCTTTATGGCTGTGCAACTCTTTAACATGTGGCTCTGCAGATCTGCTGTGGCATTGAGCTGCTTTAGTGTCCTCGTCATGCGGCTTTGGAGAACTCCGGCAAGAAAGAGAGGGGGAGAGTGGGGAAGGCAGCTAATGGCATTCGTACTCTTGGGGAAACAGATTCGACTTCATAGACCCCTGAAAGGGTCCTGGGAGCCTCAGGCCACACTTTGAGGGCTGCTGATCTGTGCTGGACTGGCCAGGAAGTAATATATTCAGGGAGAGTTCAGTAGATTCTGCTTTTGAAATTTTTACAGTAGCTTGTCCTAACAGAAGAAATTTTTACAAAACTATTCCACATTTATGTATAAGGTGTTTTCTTTTACGTTCTCATGAGTGATATATATGTGGTTCAGTACAGATGTGTACTTCAGAGGCTGCCTTGAGGACGTGTAGCTGTGTAGTGATGAGAAGAGTCTGTCTTACCCTTGGGGTAGCCACTGACGGCTGACAGGTGTTCACCTGCCGTGTCCTGATGGATGTCCTTTTGTTTTGTCTGCATATAGAGTTTCATGGGCACCTAAGGAGTAGTGTTGCTGTTCTTATGCCTGTGTTCTAAAAGAAATAAATTACCAGTTATTGTGATAGCTGCAGTCTAGTGATCTTTGACTTCTGATGTTAAAGGTATACATCAAGGTTAGTAGGGCCGAAATTTGATCTTTAGCCCATTAATTCCGTGTGTTTGCCACGTGGATGTTATTGTGGATTGTTTTTTAACCAAAACTATTGTTTGTGACTCACTCCCATTTCCCCAAGTTAAAAAAAGTTTCTAGGAAAATAAACCTTACAGGTTAAAAGGGAAAAAATTCAGCATGCATGCTCTAAGAAGAAAAACAAGTTTAATGACTACTGTGGTTTCCAAGAGGATGTTTTGAATGATAGCCTAAATTTAGTAATGCATGTCTGGGTAACTAAGGAATTTCTATTTTACTGTTGAGATTGTTCAACAATTTTGGTTATCTTTGAACAGAGTTATCTTGGACACCAATGGGTTATGTTGTTCGGCAGACATTATCTACAGAACTGTCACCAGCCCCTAAAAATGTTACTTCCACAATAAACTTAAAGACCATTGCTTCATCAGCAGATCCTAAAAATGTTAGTTTATCGTCCTCTGAAGTTTTATCTTCGGATCCTTCCTGCAACAAAGAGAAGCACATTGTTCATTCTGCAAAAAAGGTAGGTATCACTAGAGACAGATAGTAGGATGGTGGTTGCCAGGGACTGGGGGGAGCAGGAAATGAGAAGTTATTTATTAATGGGGACAGAGTTTCAGTTTTTGCAAAAGGAAGAGTTCTGGAGATGGATGGTGGTGATGGCTGCACAACGCCAGTGTACTTAATGCCACTGGACTACACACCTAAAAATAGTTAAGGCGGTAAGTTTTGTTATATGCATTATACTACAGTAAAAAAGATTGGGAAAATGAAGGTGTGCATCACATTTTGATTATGTCGATCTGTGCACTGGATGTTCTCTTTTTGCCCCCAGACCTACCTGTGAAAGTGTTTTGTTCTATACTGTAGTCACTAGTCTGAGTCTGTTACACTAGTATCTTGAAAAAGGACTAGATTGTCAGTCAAGGAATGCAAGTGATAGCTTTTAGGTATGAGAGAGAATATACATTTTAGACCTATGGTCTTAAAATATCTGTGAACCATTTTGAATTCTTTGAAGATGTGCTGGCTTCAGTTTATATTCTGGTGTGTAAAATTGCTGCTGCTTTTCCCCCTAGTCTTTTGTTGAATTTAAATGGCTTTTACCAGTACTAGAGTACTGGTAGCAAATTATTACAATTGAATTCCACATTTTGTGATCATCTGGTGTATGTTAATGATTTTTGGTTAATCGCAATTTATTTACTTACTACAAGATAGCATTTCAGAATAGATTTTTTTCCCTTAAATAATTTTAAGTTGCATTTTTATCGATCCCTAGATCTATTTCTTCAGGAGCTTTGTTTTTTACACTGGTATAGATGTTGTCCTTGATTTTCATTGTGTAAGGATACATTATTTTAGGTTGAAATGTGGTCATGTTTAGTGCAACGGTTTCCTATCTTTTTGAGTGTGAGGATACTTTTTGACATCCAAAATGTCATTAGCCCATTCCATGTCAGTGGTAACTGTGCATTTATGATCTGTTAGTGACAATTATAGCAAAGGCAGACTTGTGCTTAATTCCTCATGGCGCGTATTTGAGAGAGAGTAGTACGCATAGGTGAAAGACCTTCTCTTTTGCACACACACTGAACTTGGCTCTCTGTGGAGTCCTGCTGCCTGTCTCTGGGGCTCCCCGGGTGGCTGGGGACAGACTGGAAAACAGTCCACTGTCTAGCTGCCAGGTCACTCACTGAGCCAGTTTAACATTCGAAGAGTTAACAGATTTTTATTTTCCCAGAATCTTTTTAAAAATTATTTTCTTAAATATAGGTGTAATAAAAATTCATTTTAGAAGAATTCTAAAATAAAGATAAGAAAATTACAAGGCTCTAGTTATGGGAAAGGCCCTCTGTCCAACCCCTTAGGGAAACCTGCACTAACAATCTCTCATATGTCCTGCCTCAGGCTCATGAAAATATAAATGAGTAGAGAGGAATTTCTGTTGTTTTGTTTTTTTTTAAACAAAATACAAGCATTCTATACACATTACTCTTAAAACTTGCCTTTTTCACTTAACAAAATATGGACAGTCCCTCCAGCTCAGTAGATAAACATTCTTTTTAATAGCAGCTGAGGCTTTTACTTCTGAATGGTAACTTCCCACTGAGGATAAAGCAGGGCCCAGAACATACAAAGTTCCTTGCCCGTTAAGAGCCTGCGTTCTACTGGGGAGAGACTAGCTATGCAGACAGATCCAGAACACACCAGATAGCGATGAGTGCTATAACGAGAAAACCAAGCAAAGCCAGAGGCTACAGAGTGAGGGCTAGATAGACATGAAGGAGCAGTCCGAGCTTACCCCAATTCAGGTGTGAGTGTTCGGTGCAAAGGTCCGGGGGCCAAAGCACATTTGACCTGAAGAGAAGCCAGGGGCTGAAGGGCCTGTAGGAGTGATGAGGTCACGTTCAGCAGGTCTGGGATGGGCTCAGACATTGGATTGGAAGGCTCCAGAGGTGATCTGCTGTGCAGACAGATGTGATGTGCAGAGCAGGGACTGCTGGGCTGTGCTGACAGAGATGGCCACCTGGACTTGTGAGGGGAGGTCAGGTTGGCGTCAGCAGGATCGTTAACAACGTGACCTCCTCAAGCTGAAAACTAGGTTCTGTCCAAACCCACCAGTTTTGAAAAGGAATTAGGCTTGTTACTATTATTTTAACAGATATTTTTTCCCCCTTCAGAATTATACTACTGAGTTCTGGCTCTGTAGAAAATGGGGAATGAGGAATCTAACTCTAAATAAAATTGCCATGTGATTATACAATTTTTTATTTTAATTTTGCTGACACATGGTATTAAATATTCTATTGAATGCCCTAAAAACTGCCGATTTTTGCTGTTTTTTTCTTCTAGTCCAAAGCATCACAAGGTAGCAACCTTGAACAAAATGAAGCCTCAAGAAAGAATAAGAAAAAGAAAGAAAAGTCTAAATCAAAATATGAAATCCTGACAGTTCAAGAGCCACCAAGGATTGAAGTACATTTATATTTATTACTCCTGTTGTGTAATGTAATAAAGGGGTCTTTCTTAATAGAAATGGGTTCATACTGGTTTCCTAAGTGAATATCTCCAACATTTTTTTCGTGGTCATTTTCTTAGTGCTAGAGAAAACAGTGGCCGCCCACTCTCCTCACCTCTTGTTTGGCTTCCCAGCTGTCTCAGAGCAGGCACTCAGTGTATGTTTGAATGAATGAATGGTCTGGGGACAAAACTACTTGTATCGGAGTTTAATACTTTGTGTGCCATATTACTAATATTTCCCCTTGGTACCTGTTTTTTTCCTTGCTTTAGAATGTTGGCTTTTGCAGGGCCTCCTTTTCTATCCAGAAATCTTATTATAAAGTGCTTTACTATAGAGAAAAATGTAGAATACCATAGATCCATTGTAGCCCCAGTCAGGAGAATTTCATGAACTTGCAGAAGTGCCCTTGAATTGCTGTCCCATGATACTCCAAGAGTGTAGTGTCCTCTGAGCAGCCAGCCTGGCTTCCGACTGTGTTTCTCATGGACCTGCTTGTTTTCACGTTGCTAAACCAGACCCAGGTGGCCTGGCTGCTGTACAGGCAGAAGGCTCTCAGAGGTGCTGCCCAGGTGCCCAGCTTGGGATCGTGCCCAGCTTGGGATCAAGCCCAGGGCATTCCCACAAACTTGGGGCGAGGCGTACAGTTCCCAAGCCTCTTGGAATATCCATTTCAGAACAACTGGGTTATATGTTGAAGACCTACTACCATGGCAGAGCATTATGGTTTGGGCCAATGAATAATTCATATTTCTGCTTCATGTTTCCCACATAATTCTTTTTTCCAGAGCACCTAAAATACTGACAAATTTACATATGATGTTTTAAAATGATTTAAAATTGTTTTTAGCAGGCCTCTTGCCTTTGTCTCTATTTACTAGCATGGGTTCAGCACAAATTACGTAACATATGAATCTGCTGCATCCAGATCTGATGGGTTCTCTCGTGAAAAACAGAGACTTTTGAAGAACAGGTGCTTGAATACTCTTGTGCCAGGGTGGTCCACGGTCAGTTCTGTAGACCCCTCAAGTGCGCCAAGATCCTCGGTGGCACCCTCTCTCTTTTGGGTCTGGTGTATGAGAACTTTGGTCTTTAAATTTAAAGTTAAATAAAGCAGTTATGTCAGAGTTTCACAGCTATTTCATATCACCTTTGAGAACCTTCGTCGGATCTTATTATATTAAGACAGAAAATATAAGCAAGGAAAAGGTTGCACTTGGCATGTTTGCATTCTCATGATTAATAAAGAGCTAAAGGGGTATGTGGTTTACTTAGGATGCTGAGGAGTTTCCCAACCTGGCAGTTGCATCTGAAAGAAGAGACAGAGTAGAGTCACCGAAATTTCAATCTAAACAGCAGCCACAGGTAATTTTTAGATTGAAACCACAATTGCTTTAGGCTTAACTTTTCTTGCTTAACTAAACTCTTGAAAAAAAAAACTGCTTTCCAGACTTCTTTGTGTACCGAGACAGGTGGTTTTGTTTTGATTCATTCCTTCATGGGAGAACTTCATCCATTGTGTTGAAATAGAATTGCTCTTACACTATAATATGTTATCACTTTAGTAATAAGACTACTGGTAACTGCAGTTGGTAAGTCAGAAAAGAGGGGGACAAACTGCCTTATGAAACTAATTGAAAGAAAAAAAAGTTGATTCAGTTTATTTAGGAAACAGAATTTCTTCGCAAGGCAGTAATGTCTGACGGAAGAAAAATAAGAGAAGCACTAGAATTTTATTCCGTGCAGTCAAAACAGAAGCCAAAGGGGAGGTGATTTCTCCTTGCATCCTCTCCCTTCCCTAGAGATTCAGGAGGGAGCTTGTGACTCATAATTTAGATGGGGAATTTCCATACTTTTAACTATTTATTCTTTTAACGTGTTCATTGTCATTTTGCCTTTTAAAGGAGGGAGATTATTTTCACATTTATGAAAAATAAAATTCTAAACCTTTGTGTAAATTAACTTTTGACTCACATGTGATGATGTGCTCACCTTGCATCCCTGCAGCAGGTCTCCTTGCCTGCCTTTGTTGTACTGGGTGCCCTGCCCTGACATGAGCCCTCTCAGCCTGTAGGGTTTTTGGTGTCAGGGAAGAGAATACTCAACAGGAGAGTGGAATGGAGGTGCTGAAGCAAACAGAACACCATGCCTTAGGATGTACCACAGGCTTCTGTGTACACTTGTTTTTAAGAGATGGGGTCTCACTCTGTCTCCCAGGCTGGAGTGCGTGGGCTGATTTTAGCTCACTGTAACTTCAAACTCCTGGGCTCAAACCATACTCCTGCCTCAGCCTACTGAGTAGCTGGGACAACAGGCGTGTGCCCCTCGTATAACTTTTTATATGGCCTCAAAACCCAAATCACAACTATTTCAAAAATAACTTGTTTCAAGTATATCAAACTTTTTGCCTACATTAGTATTTCCTGCTGGGTATGATTTGGGCTTGTGTAGACTTCTGGCCATATCGCTATGATTTCATGGCTGTTTGTTGGTTCTTGGAGGCAGTTAAAAAGAGAATGGTGCTAATGAAGTAATAGTACTAACCAAGTAGCCTCACACACAGACTTTCGTAGTCAAAGACTTTATGCAAGCCCTGGTGTCTTGTCTAGAGGTGTACACTGTTAACTTGTAGTGGAGATGTAGACAGAAATGTAGGCGATTTAATATAAACCCAGTGTTCTGAAAGAAGAAGGAAATAAACAACCATGGTAATACTGGCAGATAATGTGGGATTGATTTTTTTTTTACTTGAATTTTTTTAATTTTAAGATTTTTATAGTCTCTAAATCTATTTCATTTTATCTATAATTATATGAATTTTTTGTAAAATGAAAAGCACATTTTGTGTAGCACTATAATAAACGTATGATTTTTGAACTTTTTAGGATAATTTTAAAAATAGTGTAAAGAAGAGCCAGCTTCCAGTACAGCTGGATTTAGGGGGGATGCTGACAGCACTGGAGAAGCAGCAGCACTCCCAGCATGCAAAACAGTCCTCCAAACCAGTGGTGTTCTCAGGTAAGAGTCTTTTCATCTCAGGCACGTGGCCGAAAGTCTTTTTCAGATAGATTATTTTCTAATATTTTCTCTTGTTATCAAAAGTTATTTATATGTAATCAAAACACTGTGGTTCTGAAGTAAGCATAGACATAGACCTATGGAGAAGAACTGAGAGTCCGGAAGTAAACCCATGTATCTATGGCCACCTGATTTTTCACAAAGGTGCAAAGTCCATTAAAAGAACAAAGAACAGTCTCTTTAAAAGTGATGCTAGGAAATCTGGATTTCCATATGCAAAAAAATAAAGTCATATCCTCTACTTCACACCACAGATAAACATGAACTAAAGGCCAGGTATGGTGGCTCAGGCCTGTAATCCTAGCACTTTGGGAGGCTGAGGCGGGAGGATTGCTTGAGACTGGGAATACAAGACCAGCCTGGGTAACATATCGAGACCCTATCTCTACAAAAAATGAAGAAAAAAGAAAAATTAACCAGGCATGGTGGCATGCGCCTATAGTCCTAGCTGCTTGAGAGGCTGGGCCAGGAGGATCGCTTGAGCCCAGAAGTTTAGGTTGCAGTGAGCTGTGATTGTGCCACTGCATTCTAGCCCACACCACAGAACCATCCCTCGCAGAAAAAAATTGAACTCAAAATGGATCAATGAGCTAAACACAAGAGTTAAAACTATAAAACTCTTAGGAAAAAAACGGGTAAATCTTCATGATGTTGGATTAGGCAGTGGATTTTTAGATGTGTCACCAAAAGCATGGGCAACAAAAGAAACATGACCTCATTAAAATTAAAAACTTCTGTGTACCAAAGGACATGTCAAGAAAATGACAAGATAGCTTATAGAATGGCCAAATCATATATCTGATCAGAGGTTAATATCCAAATATGTAAGAACTCCTACAACTCAATAACAAAGATAAACAATCCAATTAAAAAATGGGCAAAGGACTTGAAAAGACATTCTCCAAAAAAGACATACAAATGGCCAATCTGCACATGAAAAAATACTCAACATCATTAGTTATCAGGGAAATGCTAATCATACCACTTCCCACCTAAATGGAGGACTATAATCAAAAACACGTAACAAGTGTTGATGAGAATGTGGGGTAATAAGAACCCTTGTACACTGCTGGTGGGAATGTAAACTGGCAGCCCCTGTGGAAGACAGTTTGATAGATGGTTCCTCGAAATGCTGATAAATGCAGAGTTACCGTGTGATCCAGCAATTCTACTCCTCAGTACTTGCCCCTCAACATTAAAACACTCAGACACTTGTATGCCAGGGTTTATTGCATTATTCACAATAACCAAAAGGTGGAAACAACCCAAATGTTCATCATGAACATATAAATGAATAAACATTCGTGGTATATTTGTACAGTGTAATATTCAGCCTTAAAAAGATAATTCTGGCCGGGCGTGGTGGCTCACGCCTGTAATCCTAGCACTCTGGGAGGCCAAGGCGGGCGGATTGTTTGAGCTCAGCAGTTCGAAACCAGCCTGAGCAAGAGCAAGACCCCGTCTCTACTAAAAATAGAAAAATTAATCAGACAACTAAAAATATATAGAAAAAAATTAGCCGGGCATGGTGGCAGATGCCTGTAGTCTCAGCTACTCGGGAGGCTGAGGCAGATGGATTGCTTGAGCTTAGGAGTTTGAGGTTGCTGTGAGCTAGGCTGATGCCACGGCACTCTAGCCCGGGCAACAGAGTGAGACTCTGTCTCAAAAAAAAAAAAAAAAAAAGAGATGAATTCTGATACATTCTACAACATGAACGAAACTTGAAAACATTATGCTACATGAAATAAGCCAAACACAGAAACACAAATACTATATGATTCCACATAAATGAAATATCTCGAATAGGCAAATTAATAGAAAGCAGATTAGAGGTTACCAAGGGCTGAGGGGAAGAAGAATGGGGAGTTATTCTTAAGGGGGAGGACGGTGTCAATTTGGGGCATGAAAAAGCCTTGGAAATAGTGGTAATGGTTGCACAATATTGTGAATGTAATTTATGCCACTGAATTGTGCACTTAAAACAGTTAAAATGATAAATTTTATGTCATGCATTTACCACAATTAAAAAATTTTTAAATTATTTAAATGTGATTTTTAAGAAATAGATCTTAATAAAAGATGAGGAGTTTTCCACTTGCTGTAATGACATTGTGTAGCTGAAAATCTCCTTATCTTTCTGAGCACCCTGTGTTCCCCAAGATCTCTACTGTGCGGGTTAGAAAGCTGCAGTCCATAGACAGGGACTGCCCGCCTATGCACAGGGCACCGCTGGGAGCAGTGTCATGCCAGCACTGGTGTGGCTGTCTCTTTCCTCTGACACATCTCTTAGAGAAGGATGTTTTTCCTTTTGAAGCAGTTTTTTCAAAGCACTACATTTAAAAAAAAAATAGGTACCCAAGAAAATTGATAAAGAGGCTTTTATTTATATTTGATTGGGTTTTGACTTTTGTCTTTGAGATTCCTGGTAGTTAGTGAAGAGGGAAATATGCCAAGTTTTATGGTTTTAATCCCAGAAAGGATCAACTCACTCTGGCTCTTTGGGAGGTGGAATTTTTTTACCTTGAAAATTTTCAAACATCCAGAAAAGCTAAATAAATTGTACAGTGAACGCTCTTGTACAGGTTCCAGGCACACCTTAGGATTACTGTGTGAAAACCGCTTGGGATGGAATCAGGGGGTTTAATAAGCATGTTATAGGATGTTTTGTTTTGTCTTTGTTTTTTACTTTTTTATTATGGAAAATTTGAAACCTAAAAAATAGAATGTGATGTGTCCATTGCCCAGATTCATCAATTAACATTTTGCGAGTCTTGTTTGATCTGTTATCCTACTTTTTTCCCTTAAAGTATTTTAAAGCAACTCACAGGCATCATGTAATTTCACCTATAAACACCTCAGTATCTCTGATAGTGATTTTTTTGACTCACCCTGCCATCATCCTGCCTAACAGTATTGACAATGATTTCTTTTTAAAGAAAAAACAAACTTGTTTTTCTCTATACACACTCACAAACTTTATTTCTAACACCAGTTGTGTGGGTTTTTTCCCACAACAGTTCTTGGGTAGATATCCACTGGGTGTCCTACAGTATAACTCAGGACACTGACTGTTCAGAGTTAATGCAGACTCCACAGGTTAAGGGGTTGGTCCCACAAAATTGCCCCTACTTCAGATGCCACTTGCAAGTCCAGGTTGTCACCTATGCTTCTGACCAACCAGCTATAAATTGGGGGTTCCCAGGACCATCTCTTGAGGTTTGATAATTTGCTGGAATGGTTTCATGGAACTCTTTTTGGAAAATAGTTTGTCCCTCCAGGCTCACCACCCTCGGAGCATCTCCATGTGTCCCCCCACCACCAAGCTCTCCAAACCCTGTTACAGGTTTCTATGGAGGTTCTATTATGTAGGCATGGTTAAATTGTTAGCCATTAATGATTGTGCAACCTCCAGCTCTTCTCCCTTCCTCAGAAGTGGGGCTGAAAGTTCCAACCCATTGTCACTTGGTTGGTTCCCCTGGCAACTAGCACCTAATCCTTAGGCTATCCCTGCCACCAGTCTTCTCATTACCATACAAAAAGACACCACTTTGGTGATGCCAAGGGTTTTAGGAGCTTTGTGCTGGGAAATGGGGGCAGAGACCAAGTATATATTTCTTGTTATGTCATAATCTGGTATCTAGTCTGTATCAAAATTTTCTTGATTATCTCATCGATTTTGGCAATTTTATTCATGTCAGGATTCGTGGTTTCATACATCACATGTCAGTAATTCTTATATACACCAAAGCTTAAGACTACTGCCCCTTACGTAGTCTTCCCTAAAAGTTGCCTCTTTTAGCTCATCTTCTGCTTGGGCCTGGAGTGCTGTCACCACGTATTAATGTTTTCAGCAGTCTAGGTGCTTTAGTGAAAGTCGATCATCTGTGGGGTAGCTGTGGGCAAAGGCAGCCTTTCCTTCACAGTTAGCTTTGGGCTTCACTCTATGGATCACTCTGTGGAAATTGCCTTAGCCTGGACACTTCAGAGCGGGTGTTTTGACTAACCTATATCACCCTTAGAAAAGTCTGGAAAGTGCTCTTCCAAACTCGGATTTTGAAGAATGTAGCTTCCCGGGGAGCCTGTAGGGAAGTGTCTTGTTGCATGATGTTCTCACCATACTTCATAGACGTATTTGGTGTTGAGTAGTTGAAAATTGAGGAGAGGTCACCACTCTCAGTGACAATAGCTCTCACACTGTTAGTATTAAATCATAACTAGCAGGGAAGTTATGTTAAATCATAACTAGAGGGCAGAGTCAACAATGTTTAGGTCACTTCCGGAGGTAGGATTTTATCATTAGTATGTGTTGGAATAGAAAAGGGAGCTAAAGCAGAGACTGGTTTTATACCATTGAGATATTTTATGCAGACCTTTTAGATGGAGTCTACATGAAATAAGCAGTTTAACCAAGATGGAGGGTTCTCAATCAGAACAGATTTTTGAATAGTTCAAGGTAGTTGGTGAGGCTGGGATTTTGACGGTATCGAGATGTCATTTTGGCCAGAGATTGCAGGAATGCCCAAATCCTGATGCGCCTATCATCTTCCCTTCTGAGTTCACTAATGGAACCGTCCTTACGAGGAAAAGTAAAAATTAACAAAACAGAATTCAGGGTTTTTCATTTTTAGCTGAGCCAGTGCCACATATCCCTAGTCAGGGCTTTCTAGCTAGAACACAACTTAATTCAAAGGCTTCCTAGGGGTTTTTTGTCTGTTCCCGAGCCCAATTCAGGTCTTCCCAACTGGTTGGCCAGTTAATGAGGAGGAGGAGGAGAAGAGGCTTGCTTACCAGCAGCATAGGGAATAGATAGTTTGTAAGGTGTGTCTTTTGTAGATAGCGGATGCTTCCATCTTTCTTTATTAATTCAGTCTGACAATCTGCCTTTTGAGTGGGATATTTTGTCCATTTGTATTTAATATAATTGTTCATATGGTTGGATTTATTATATCTGCTGTTTCACTATTTTTTCTGTTTGTCTCATGTTATTTGTTCCTTCCTCCTCTGCTGCCTTTTGTGTTAAATAGTCTTGAACTATGCTTTTGATTCCTTTGTTGATTTTTTTTTTTTACTTTAGTTTGAAAAATTAGGTTGTTCCAGGGATTACAATATATATCTTAATTTATATATTGGAGAAACTTTACTATATCTCCATTTTTTTCTTCCCCCTTTGTGCTGTTGTTAACATATGTTACATCTAAATATGTTAAAAAACAAATAATATAGTGTTGTAATTATTACTTTGCACAGTCATATCTTTTAAAGAAGTTAAGAGAAGAAATGAGGGAGAAAATTTATATTTACCAGTTTTGTATTTATGATTTTTGCTTTTTTTTTTTTTTTTTGAGACAGTCTTGCTCTGTTGCCCTGGGTAGAGTGCAGTGACACCATCATGGCTCACTGCAACCTCAAACTCCTGGTCTCAAGCTATCCTCCTGCCTCAGCCTCCTGAGTAGCTGGGACTACAGGCACACGCCATGACGCCTGGCTAATTTTTCTATTTTTAGTAGAGATAGGCGTCTGGCTCTCACTCAGGCTGATGTCGAACTCCTGAGCCCAAACGATCCTACCCCCTTGGCCTCCCAGAGGTGCTAGGGTTACAAGCGTGAGCCACTGTGCCTGGCCAATTTTTGCTGTTCTTTATTCCTCTGGACTCATTTGCCATCTGGTGTCCCTTCTGTTAGTATTTCTTCTGAAAGATTTCCTTTAGTATTGTTGACACAAGCTCTGCTAGCAACAAACTCTCTCAGTCTTTATCTGGGACCATCTTTATTTTGCATTCATTTTTTGAAGGATAGTTTTGCAGGATATAGAATTCTTGGTTTATCTTTTTTTCAGGTCTTTGAGTGTTATTCTACTGCCCCCTGGCCGCTTGTTCTTGATGAGAAGTCAGACACTGTTATTCTGCTTTATGCGATGAATTATTTTTCCCAGGCTGTGTTCCATGTTTTTTGTTTTGACCTTCAGTAGTTTGACTGGGATGTATATAGGTATGAATGTCTATGTTTATCCTACCTGGGTTTGGTAGTTGTTTTTAGCTCTGTAGATTAATGCTTTCACCAAATTTGAGACGTTTAGGGCCATTATTTTGAAAATTTTTGTCTTTTTCTCTCTCCTTCTGGGACTCCCACTATATTTATTTGTATGCTTGATGTTACCCTATAGGTCTCTCAGGCTCTGTCCATTTTTTTCAGTTTTTTTTTGTATCTTTTCTTTAAGTTAGATCATTTCTATTGATTTATCTTCAAGTTCACTGATTTTTCTACCATCAAATCTCTGCCAAGCCCCTCTTCTTTATATTAATAATTTCTATTTATTGAAATCTGTGTTCATTTTTGTTCTAATAATTGCCTTGACATGTTGGTCTGCTAAGTCCCACATCTGGAGGCACTCAAAAATAGTTTCTGTTAACTGCTTTTTTTCTTGAGTGTGGTTCATTTCTTGTTTTTTTGAATATATCAAATTTGTGTTGAATACTGAATATTTTGGAGCAACCCTGCATTCTGATTTCTTTCCTTGGAGAGGAGTGATGGTGATTTTTTTTTTTTTAAGTAACTTGTGTGATCTATTAATAAATCTGAAGTCTGCCTTCCCCACAGTGTGCAGCTGCTGATGTCTCTGCTTGGTTATTTTGTTTGTTCTTATTTTTTGCCTGCCTTTCTAGGGTTACCCTATGTCTGCACGCAGAGATGGGTCAGAGGCCATGCTCCAGCCCCCACTTTTTGTTGATAGCTGTGTGTGACCTGGGGGTGCCTTCAGCCCTCAGGCCAAATTCAAGTTTGCCTCGTGCTCAGTCTCCCTTGGGCCTGCTTGTGGACTCTACCTTTGGCTGGGTTGTGTGGGTGGCTGGGAATTGCTTTTGCTGGGCACCCTGCATGCACCCTGTGGCCAGCCAGGATGTGTGGAAAGCCCATCCTTACAGCGAGTCTTCCCTGGACTCCTCCCTGTAAGTCCCTGCTGGCCCGCGGTCCATTACTTGTCCACATGAGATGGCAACCTTAGGCTGGCCTCGCTGCCTCACCCTCCCTGTTTGCCAAAGTGGCAACTTTAAATGACCACACTCAATCTAGCAAGCCCCTTCTAGCAGAGCTAGGGCAAGAAGTGGCCTAGGTAGGAGGCAGGCAGAGTCATCTTGGGTGACTTGTGCAAGTTAAACGCTCCGCATGGAAACAGGGAATTGGACAGGTGAGATTTAATGGGCATACCGATTGACAAAACACCAATTATTTAAAAGACATATTCTGAAATTAAAGGAGGTTGGGTTAAATACATCTGGAAAAATATTGATAGTTGTTGAAGCTGGACAGTGAGGCTCATGGGGGTTTGTCGTTTACCATTTTCCCCTCTTTGGTATATGTTTGGAAATTTTCCTAATTAAAAAGTAGGGGAAAAAGTATACAAAAATAAACTATTTCCTTTAAACAGTTACTGAGGTATGGAGTCAAGCAGAACAAGAGAATTAAATTGAAATACTCAGTGGTAATCACAGAAATTCATTGACTGTGTGGAGAGATTGCCCCCAACTGCCCGTGGTGGGATTTGGGAAAACACGTCGTGTCTAGAAACTCAAGAGACTCAACTGGAAGTAGTATGGGCGTCTTTAAGGGCCTTGTAAGATAGTAATAGATAGAAGGTACACACACAGAAACCAGGAGCCGGCTTCTGCAAAGGCAGTGCCAACTGAAGCGGTGGTGGAGAGGGACTTGTTCACAGCTGTAATAGTGAGTAGCAACCACCTTAGAACTATCCTTAGTCAGAAATGAAATCCACAAAATGAACAGACTTTGCTGAGAAACAGGAGAGTTGATTACATGGATAGGAAGGTAGATCTTCTTAAGTTTTTGATATTTTTTGGGACTGCATCCAAAAGATACTTAATTTCATTAGAATCACTGCCAGTGAAAAGAATGTGTAAGAGATTGTTTGATGAAGATGAGAAGGGTTGTGGGGACAGGTCAGGGGGGTCATGGGGGACTTCTTCAGATACCCTGAGACAGTTCCAGGTGAGCTGTGGCCCGAGAGCTGGGCAGGGCCACTGGGAGGTGACCTCGAGGCATCTGTCCTTTTGTGTTTCAGTTGGAGCGGTGCCAGTCCTTTCCAAAGAAGTCTCCTCAGGGGAGAGGGGCCGGCGCTTCAGTCAGCCGAAGACGCCGCACAACCCCTTGGACTCCAGTGCCCCTCTGATGAAGAAAGGAAAGCAGAGGGAGGTCCCCAAGGCCAAGAAGCCAACCTCACTGAAGAAGGTGTGCTCTTAGAGTTTTTAGATTGTAAGGTTTATGTTACTCCAACATGTCGTCTCAAGATGTATCAATGATTCCCAAACCATCAGTGCCTCACCCTCCTGGCCTGACGTGACAGAGCGTGTGAAGCAGGGAAGGCTTCAGCTACCTTAGAAAGGAGGAAAATCTTTTCTCTCTTTTTTACTTTTAACGGTGCAATGACACAGACTGAAAACCAGAAATGGAGGGAGTTTCATTTTCCTTCTTCACACGTTCCACCCTCATCCCACCCCTGCTGATTAGAGCCAGTGAACGGGGCACACTTCCGTGGACAGTTGCACATGTGCCTTTGGTTAATTCTTACAGCAGCCCCATGGTATACATGCTTGGGTGACCGTTGGGTGGCAGAACTGGCTTCAAGGCCCAGGTGTCTGCCATGTGTCTGCTCTGCACACCTGGGAGGAATGTGCTGCTCTAGGCCGGGTGAGGGTTGGGCCAGCCTCCAAGACGGGAGCATGTGGCCACTCTGAGGGCACACAGGCGAATTGCCAACATGTTGAACTTGGGCCGTTTGTTTTGCAGAAGTGCTTATTATCTCTTAAGTACAGATATTTAGGTGTTTCAATCCTTGATTTAATTTTGAAGATTATTTTGAAGGAACGGCAAGAGAGAAAGCAGCAGCGTCTCCAGGATAATGCTGTGAGCCCAGCTCTCACCAGCGACGAAGGGCAAGATGGAGAAAGTGGTAGCAATGACCAGGCCCCCGAGCAGGTGGACCCCTCAGGTACCGACTCCTGTTTGCACCTGAAAGAGTACTTCTGACTAGGGCAGCCATGAAAAGGATAAGCTGTGCCAAGCAACCTGTCCGGGGCAGTCCTTGCACCTTTGTGGTGAAAGGGGGTCAGCTGTTAGACATCAGGGGCTGTGGACAGTGTTGCATGTGTGTCTCGGAGGGCACAAGCACTTGCTCCTGTTGGCCATTGCTGGGGGCAGGTTTCTTTGGTAGCTCCTGCCGAGCGGGTTGCCCAGTGTTCTGGTTACACCACTGGGGGTGTCGCAGGTGCTCCCCATCCCCGCCAGCCCATGGGCACTGTCTTTTGTGTTTGCCATCCCAGTGGGTGTAGTGTACATTTTTAAATTCCTTCACTTGGCAATCTGATACTTGGCTTGCATTTTGGTGGTTTGTAGAGGTAACAAGGTGGGGAAACTAAAAAAATAAATTTGGCCACTGAATCGCACACCTAAAAATGGTAAAGTGGTAAACATTATATGTATTTTACCACAATAAAAATTATTAGCAAGTAAACATTGGAGGAGAGGCACACATCCAGGCCTGTCAGAATGCTGGCATGACAGTCTGCGCCCTTCCCCAAGCGTCCCCAACAGTTTTTGTCGTCCTCTGTAAACTTCTCAGTGTTGTCTGTGTAGGCTCTGGTCGCATCAGTGCCACTGCCCTAGGCCAGGCCTTCATTGTGTGCACGCAGCCCTGCGGAGGTCATAGAATGACTTTTTCCTCTGTGAAGGTTCAGCGGGGACGGATGAATTGGTCTCCTCCACTCCTGCGGTCGAGGGCAAGTCAGAAGAGCCACCAGGCGCAGAGCTCCAGAGGGATGCGGAGGCCAGCCACCTTGCTCCCGACCAAGCTGCCTTCCCCAAGATCCACAGCCGTAGATTCAGGGAGTGAGTGAGCCCCTGCCTGCCAGGGACTGTGGGAAGCGAGGGGCGCTTAGTTTCGATTTGGCCTTGATTGCTTCCACCCTTACAATGCTGGGTACCATAAACCCGTGTGGTTGGGCCACATTGCACTTTAACCCTCATGGTTGGAAGTGGCCAAGCACCTCGTTCTATGTGTGTTCGGGGCGAGCCTAATCATCGTATCTGTGTCTGCTCCCACTGAGGTTTCTGTCCTGATGACAATGGAGGGAAGTGCCTTTAGTCCAGATTCGAGGTTGGGAAGTGAGTGGGGAGGTGATGGCACATGACATTGGGCCCCCCTTGGTGGTTTAATTCTTATGTAATTTCTTAGGGGCAGAATTCTTTTAACCTTGTTTGCTTGTTCTGCCTTCTCTCCATCCCACTTTTCTTTCATAATGGTCTCTCTAGGTGTTTGTTTTCATGATGGGGAGATGCATGGGGAAGTGGCCAAGACAGGGACCTATGGCAAACTGTGGCAGAGGGTGGGGCTCAGAGATTTTTGTCCCTTGCAGTTTGGAGTGGGGGAAGCTGCCCCAATATTTACCTTTCATAAAATGGAATCAGTGAGGAATTCGGTTGTGATTGGGGTTACTCGTCACAGTGTGACTTCTCATCTGATGCTGTCAACATCTCTTCTCCCTGAGGTTGGGTGGGAGCAGTGCCACAGGGTCGCGGCCAGTGGCAGAGTTCCTGATGTTTGGCATTTCTTTCAGTTACTGCAGCCAGATGCTTAGTAAGGAAGTGGACGCTTGTGTTACGGACCTGCTCAAAGAACTTGTCCGTTTCCAAGACCGTATGTATCAGAAAGATCCAGTCAAGGCCAAGACCAAACGCCGACTTGTGTTGGGGCTGAGGGAAGTTCTCAAACACCTGAAGCTCAGAAAGTTGAAATGTGTCATCATTTCTCCCAACTGTGAGAAGATACAGTCGAAAGGTAATGGCTCTGTGCCATGTGGGCCCTGTGCACTAGTGCTTAGTACACCGTCCTCGTGGTCGGCCACACACTTGGGCAGACCGTGCTGCAGGCCTTGGCACCTCATTTTCTTTTCTGTTTTTGTTTTTTAATTGAGTAATTGTTTCTCAAGTGCGCTGACCACTGAGTGCCTTACTTTCTGTAACGTAGGAGGGTCATGTGATCTTGGACGATGGGTTTCCAGCCCACGCAGGCCTCTGACAGCAGGGCATGATGTCCTTCTGTTGTGCAGGGTGCTCTGGAACTGAGGATGGTCACTGGTGACACACCATGAAGGGCTGTGCCTGGCAGCCAAGCAATACCTACCTAGGACACTTGTCCACTTCACATTTACTTGTTCTGTCTGTGGTGAGCTCATCTGTTCACTCGTTACAGAGGTGGGTTTGTCTGAATACTCGGCCATTTTACTTCAGCTGGATGGTATAGTTTGTCAGATATGATGTGCTAGGTGAGACGACAGTGAACTCTTCCTCCGTGACATCTTGTTTATCCTGCACTTGTGCCATCTTGACTCCCAGAGAACTTGCCTGTCCATGCTGTGTCCTCCCCAGATTGAGTAACAGAAGAGCCGAGAGGAGCAGAACGCCATTGCTCATGGACAGCCGTCCTGCATGTCCATCTGGGCTGAGATCACTCACAAGCCCTTCTCTGGCCCCATTCCTCTCTCCTGCGGTGTAAAATTCAACTTAGCCAGGGTCCCACTTTGAGGTGACGAGTCCGGATCCTGGGGCTGAGCCCTTAGAGATGATCTTTTCCAGCTACTATTTCACATCTAAAGCCTGGAGGTTTCCTGACATGTCTGAAGCCCCCTCCTTCCAGCCGAGGAGCACCAACTGGGGCTCCTCATGCCCAGCCTGGCAGCTTGTCCCTGTCCTAGCTCTGTGCAGGTCCAGTGTCAGCGCTGACCAGAATGTGACAGAAGAGATCTTGGCGACCTGCCTATCCAGTGGTATGTCTGGCAGTGCCCAGAGGCCCTTCTGTGTCATTGGAGAAAATAGGGCACACGTTTCCTTGGCTGTTTCCATCCGCGTTGTACATGCACACAGCTAACGGTAAAGGAGGCCTATGGGGCTTAAGGGAAAAGCCAGGCCTGGGCTCCCTGCCTTCCCTAGAGACTCTTCTGGTCAGCTCCTAGCCAAATTTGGGGATATTTTTCTCTGCATCTCCAAATAAGAGGCTTGTGGGCTACTGCTTAACGTTTTTTTCAGTTTTAAGTATTTATTCGGTAACTTCCTGACAGAGGAAACGGGCTTTACTCTCATTTATCCTAATCTATAGTTTGGCTTATCATTCTTGTTTTGTGGTGCTTGCTTAATTTTCTGTATACTTAACATTAATCAAACCCCATGCCCTCGGCTAGCTGGCTCAGTCTTCCCTCAGACAGTTGGATACATCAGGCATTCTGCAGTTTCATCTGCTCAAGAAACCCTCATTTCTGGCTCTCTGCACCCTGGGGATGCCCTTGGCTCTCACCCTGCCCTTGTCGAGGTGCACTGTTTATGTTCTTCTTGCAGTGCCCCCTTGTTTTGCTGAAGCACATCCTGCAGTGGTTTACGATAAAAAGGTGCATGGGAGGCACATTTTGGAGGTCTTGCTTGAAATCAAGAGTCTTTGATTCTTGGTCCTTTGCGATCTTTTTTTTGTTTGTTTTTCCCTCCTTTCTGGGAGTTTGTTGGAACTTCCTTGTTCCTGGGGTTCCAGTATGTGAGGCAGTTTGCATCCAGTGTCCTTGGCTCTGAGATGTGTTGTTGAATTTTTGCTTTGAATTCTCTCCTTCAGTCCCTGCCAGCTCCTCCTGCAGCCGCATCACTGTTTGGGCTTTCTGGACTGGTGTCCTCTTGTTGGTTGTTCTTTGCTTTTCTCCTCTTTCTTTTGGTTCCATTTTCTTTTAGGACACCTTAACTATATCTTCTAAACTTTTTCATTGAATTTTTTGCTTCGTACATTTTTAATTTCCGGAAGCTATTTTTGTTTGCTAAAGATTCCTTTTTTATGACATTGCTATTGCCTCATGAATGTATTACCTCTCTGAGAATTTTAATGATGCCAAATTCCCCTCCCTGCATAGCCTCTGTTTCTTCCAAGTTGTTTTCTCTGTTTGTTTTGGTCTCTGCATGGTGGAGGCTTTTCACAGATGTCTCGTGGCTCCTTAGTTGTCTGCTCCTATTTAAAAGCTGCTAAGAAGCTGACTCGAAATCTGTATGCATGGCTGGCGTTCAAGGCTGTGAGCAGCATTGTGGGGTGGTGGTTCTCAAACCGCAGCCTGCATCAGAATCACCCAGAGGGCTGGTAAAAACAGATTCCAGAGTTTCTGCTTGAGTAGGTCCAGTGGGCCCAAGAGTTTGCACTTCCAGTGGGTTCCTGGGCGATGCTGCCGCTCTCAGTAGTGCACTCTGAGAAGTTCTGCTGTTGTCTGGCTGCTGTCATGTCAGCAGTGCCCCAGGGGTGTCTCTGTCTCCCCTTGGGCTGGTCACCCCAGGGAAGACTTAGCACCTCCTGTTTGGAGGGGCAGGCCTGGCTCTCAGCCTTTACCCTGCAAACTTGTCCTCTTGCCACCATTAGAGGTGGTGCATCACGTCCCACACACTTGTGCCCTCCTCACCAGAGGGCTGCGGCCAACAGGGTAGACACTGAGTCACCTGTTCATCAGTGTCCAGCTGGCTCTCCCGACCTGCACTCTGCCCTCATGCTGCCAGTCCCTGTGCTTTGTGGGACTCTGGGGTCCAGGTCGGGCAGTTCTAGGCTTTTCTCTGCTGTTGGCTGAGGGCTCCTGGCTCAGTTGTCCGTTTGCATTTCAGCTTTCAAACATCTGCTCGCTCTCATTCTCCTGTGGACTCATGTCTTAGACGCCACCATTCCACCTCTATGTGAGGGCAGAGCAGAAGGCTAGGTTTGTCCTTGTCGGCATCGTGAAAATTCGCATTACACCTCTGAATTATGTTAAAGTACGGTGCTTGCTCAGAATGGCATTTTACCTCATAACTCTGAACTTTTAAGTGGAAATTACTTATCTGAACCAAGCATCTTGCTTATTTGACCTGAGCTGCCTTAGGGTGATTCAGTGAGTCAGCTGTGGAGTGTGCAACTTTCATCTCTTGCTAATGACAGTGGGTTGGAGGTTGTTCGAGCAAAACAATCTAGACTTGCGTTGCTCATATGAGGGCTACCGGGGTTCAGTGACGTGCCAGGGGCACCCCATGACTCAGCATACAGTGGCAGTCGTGGCTGTGATTGAGTACAGTGAAAGGGTGCAGAGCAAGCAACGAGAAAGGCACACGGGCTGGAGTCTGGGGGAGGAAGCCAAGCACGAGCTTCCAAACGTCTCTCCCAGTGGAGTCGCATGGGACATGCTTAATTCCCCAGCTGTGGCAGCCGTGGGAAGTGCTCTCAACCAGGCATGCCGTTAGAGACTCTACCCAGGGTTTTACTGGGGGCCAGTCACACAAGGCACCCTCTGCCTGGCACATAGCTAAGTTTCAGACTCCAGAAGGAAAGCAGATGTTGAGCATAAACCACAGTGTTTGCACGCAGTGGAGGCACAGAGCCACTCTTGTCAGTTGGAGTGCTGGGAACCCTCCTGAAATCCAAGTTCACCAGCCTCAGCCTAGGGCCAGCCTGGCACGCAGGCCTTCAGAGGACAGTGGCCAGGCCCACTGTGTTAGGTTTTGCCTGTGCACTGCTTAGATAACGTTTGTGATTCCTTCCTAGGGGCTGGGTGGACACTGGGCCGAGGACCCTCAAGTGAGAGACACATCCAGTGTTAGGGGAGCCTCATCAGTCTCTCCTCGCAAGTTGAAAATATCTCCTTGTGATTATGCCTGAGGAACACTCGTCCCACCCCACCTCTGCCCGGTCTCCCCCTTCTCCCAGCCTGTCCAGAATTGCTGTTTTTCTTCGAAGTTTACATCCCAGGAGGTTGCTGCCTCATCACCTTCCGTGTTTCAGGTAGATCCGGGGCAGGGAGTAGGCGGAAGTAAGGGCTGTGGGACTTAGAATCCCCTCCAACCAGATGCAGAATGAGGTCCCAGTTCCCACAGGGAGGTAGAATGTGCATTAGAGAAGTGCCTCTCTGGGAAATGAGATGATCCGTATGTGATGAGGTACCGTGTGGTACTTTGATAACTGTAAACAGTTGTCGTTTCTTCCAATCGTTTTGTGAGGATGTGTGCATATCTTGTAGGTTCAACACCTGGTGTGAGAGCGCAGGTGCATCGCGAACTTGAACGCATGAGCCCTGCCGCCCTCCATGTAGCCTTCCTCCCTGCTGAGCCGCACCGCCCTGTTGAGTTTTTATCAGCATTTCGCTTACAAGGGAGGGTCGCCATCAGGCACTTGGGATTTCCTGGGAACTGTTGGTTTGTATTCGTCGCCCATTTGTCTTTCGCGATGGTCGTCTTCTTTTGATTGATTCGTACATTTTTATAAGTGAGCCCTTTGGATAAGAGTCGCACATATTTTTCAAGCTTGTCATTTGGCCATTTTTAAAAAAAAACCTTTTTGGCCATGTAAAATTTTAGGTGTTCAGGGGTAGAAAGAAAAAAAAAGAAAGAAATCTTAGGTGCTGTATATATTGTTATTTTTTATTTCTTATGTTTTTTATTGCATCGAGGTGTTACATCATTTCTCAGCCTTCCCACGCCAGTGTTTTTGCAGATTTGTTTTTAAACTTCTCTTTATTTCCTGGTGCTTCCGTGTTTTCATTTCTGTATGTTTAGGCAGGCGGAATAGGTTTTGGTCCAGCTGGATCTTTCCAGAGGTCTACCCAGTTGTCCAGCATCTTCTCCCCGACTCACTCGGAATGCTGTTCTGCGCACGCTCATTTGCCATTAAATTTGGGTCATTTCTGGACTCCGCGTCACCTCACTTGTGCTTTCGTAAGCTTTACGGCAAGGTTTAACGGTGCTAGCCTGACATTTTTCCTTGTTTTTTTTTTTTTATTTTTTCTCAGAGAAATCTTGTCTGTAGTAAGTTACAATATGTTAAAGTTTTAGTTGATGTAGATTTGACACTTTATCATTTTGGATCATTCTGTCCAAAAGCATTGATAGATGCCTTTTCATTTGTTCAGATTTTCTGATGTGTTCTTTAATAGCATGTTCTATAAATCTTTCATTTTTCATGATATACTCATTCCTACCTTCTGTAATCTTCTGTTGCTATTGTACGTGGAGTCCTCTCTCCGACTGTGCCCGCTAACTCGCCGCTGTGCGAGTGTACAGACTCGTGCCGGGCGCCCTTCTGCACTTCTCACGCGGTTCGGAGCGCTCCTCAGGTGCAGTTGGTTTCCGAGTGGCCAGGAAAGGCCTGCATGTGGTGCTCCTGTCACCTCCTTCCTCGCACTGGCGCCTCACTTGGAAGCAGGGTCAGAATGTAGAGCATGGTCAGCCCTTGGGAGCCAGACCCTGTGCCCCATTTAGAGGTACCATGTGGAGTAAGGAACTTAACCTGTCTGTGCCTCTGGTTTTCCATCTGTTAGCGGGGACACAAGCATCTACCTGCTTTTGAGATTTGGGGGAGGATACAGGAAATAATATATGTGAAGCAGTGGTCAGTGGCCTGGCACATGGTAAGTATTCAACAGTATTAGCTAATACTTAACGCTTCCCATTAGCATAATGCCAGCTGTGTGTTTTACGATGTTATGGAAGTATCAGTTTCGGAGCGTTAATTCTTCCATGTGGCTATGACTTGCTGTCTGGTGAAATTCGGCAGGAGCTGCTGACTTGAACATAAAATCATAAGCAGGCATGCTGCTATCTGAAGAAAAAGCCCCTTGCAACCAATATCAGCACCATGTTCCACGTGACATGTCTCCCTGTCGTTTTTCATTGTCGTTGGCCAGGTGGGCTGGACGACACATTGCACACCATTATCGATCACGCCTGTGAGCAGAACATCCCGCTGGTGTTTGCCCTCAACCGCAAAGCTCTGGGGCGCAGTTTGAACAAAGCAGTCCCTGTCAGCGTGGTGGGGATCTTCAGTTACGACGGGGCCCAGGTGAGACGAGAACACAGGCCTCGCCAGTCCCTGCCTGGGGGAGACAGTGGGGCTGGCGGTCTGTATGCTCACGCACAGAGCAGCCCCAGCCCTGCTGGTAGGCTGCTATTGAGAAGAAGCTACCATTGAGGCAGAACCTTCTCATAAAATGGTGGCCTTTGTCTCCCTGACGGCAGAGTGTCTGGTTTTGAATTTGGCTCTGGGCTTGCTGCTGACCCAGAGGCACCTAGGCAGGCCTGAGAAGCCAGCCCGGCCCACTCTCCCTCTGGGGCAGCATCCCTGGCATCCCCCACCGGCATGGGGGCTGCACAGCCCTGAGTTGTCCCTGCTTCCCTGCATTGGGCACTGTTGTCAACTTTGCAGGGGACCCATATCCTCTCAGTAATCAGGGGTCATCATCTGTGTGCTCTCACTTGTGCCTAAGGACCAGTTCCACAAGATGGTTGAGCTGACGATGGCGGCCCGGCAGGCGTACAAGACCATGCTGGAGAACGTGCAGCGGGAGCTGGCGGGCGAGCCTGGGCCTCAGGCCCCTTCCAGCCCCCCAACGCAGAGCCCCAGCTGCTCCGTAGAAGATAGCCCCGCAGGCCCCGCTGAAAAAGAAGAACCACGCTACAGTGAGTGCTCAACGGAGGGTTTGGTGTTGGGTCGAGTGTCCTCTAAGTTCTTTAGCAGCTTTAGTGTCCCCAGGAGAGCAGCTCGGCCATTGATACTGCAAGACTGGCTGTACCAGGGCCCAGTGAGTCCAGCCCAGACTGGCTGTAATCAGGCCTGGTAAGCCCAGGCCAGTGCCTAAGAGATGTTATCAGACTTTGGAAGTTGTGAGGGTTTGTCAGGGACTATCTTACAATTCAAGTCACATGTCATCTAGAGAGTGGCCTTAAGGGTAGCTGTACCCAAGACAGGCTCGGAAGGCCAGGTGGGGTTTTTCAAGGGTGTGTGCTCTCTGGGGGGTAAACCGATGCAGCTCAACAAGGGGCAGCCTGGCCCAGCAGGCTGCGAACAGCGGTGGAGCCTACGGGGCTCCTTCACTCGGGGGGCAGCTGGGCGGCGGCCGCAAGCTCACTCGCACCACTGCTTTTCTGACAGAGGAGTTTGATAACGTGTTCATCTGGTTTCTCGTTTTAGTTGAAATCTGGAGAAAACATCTGGAAGCATACAGTCGATGTGCCCTGGAGCTAGATGACTCCTTGGAGGCTTCTACCTCTCAAATGATGAACTTGAATTTATAGGGAGAGAGTTCTTTCCTGTGTGTCGGTGTTTTTTGGGTAAGGAGGGAGAGGTTTGAAAAAGACTTTGGGGCTTTTTCTTCTCAGTTCTTCATTGACCTAATGTATTTTGTATGACTCTTGAATTTGGAAGTTAACCTGCATGAAAGGGCACGTGAAGCAGCTTCTCAGGCCTTCAAGACTGTGGAGCCCACCCATACCTACCGTGTGGTCGCTCAGATACACCAGCAGCAACCTTGTCATAAAAGCCTGGTGATACAGCTGTGGCTTTCTGAGCACACTGTGGATCTGGAAAATACTGGAAAACATGGTACTTAGAGTATTTGGGCTGCTAAGGAAACTTCCTTTCCGTTGCAGAATAGCTGAGCCGAGTGAGTTTGCAGAAAGCTGGTGCTATGCTCCTGCCAGCGGGGGACAGGCCACGGGCACCATTGCCTCCAGGGCAGGAGCACGGTCCTGCAGGAAGCCACCTGACAGATGGCTATAGGGACGCTGGCGTCAGAGCAAGAGGGCTGTGGGGAAAGGCTCTTTCTCAGGGGATGTAGCTTTTCAGCTTCAAGATTTGGGGATACTTGGAGGATTTGCTAAAATGAGCCTCAGAGAAAAATTTGGTTTTCTAACCTGTGACATTTTGACATGAAATATTCCTTTCGGTCTTTATTTTTCAAAGAAACAATGTGTATTGAAGTTCCTAGATTTCAGTTTAATAATCTACAAATCTTTTCTTTCTTAAATGCACATATTTTGAATGTGATTTCTGTCTTAGAGGACAGGAGGACAGAGTTGACTTTCATATTTTCCTTGAAAGTAAGAGGGCTTATTTATTTTGAATAAAGAGTTATTATTTAATTTTGTTTCGGACTCTGGTGACCTTAGGCTCATCATTGGTCTCTGTCTTACTTGACTGTTCCTTTTGACACTCTGGCCCCGAAGGAAGGGGGCTGAGCAGGGCTTTCTGCTGCGCCCAGCCCACCTAGGTCTGGAAGGAGCGACTGCTGCAGCCTTTGACCCTGTGCAGACCTCACAGGTCCTGGCCCGGCCCGACCTGCACTTGCGTTCATTGTACCAGAGCCAGTGGCAGGAAGGGTTTCACTGCTCTTTGCTCATCGAGCAAGCAGGGTGTTGTTTTGGCTTTGAAAATACGGTTGATTGAGTTCAGTCATGCCAGATATTGTACCTCTGAGAAGCAAGTGGCCTAAGACAAGCAAGTAAAGTTGGAACGACGGCATGCTGTGGGCAGGGCTGGGACCGTGTGACCAGAGGTAGAACAGCTGTCTGCCCTGCCATCTGTGAGGCTCGTGACCGACGTGAGCCCTGATGCTCTTTACCGTGCTGAGCTTTTTAAGTGGGCCAGGCCAGGCGTCATTCCAAGCACAGAGCCCGCTCCACGTGTTTGTGCTTGCGTCAGGTCAGCAGGAGCGGAGAGGCCTTTCCTGCACTCCCGGCCCCATCGGCACGGAGCAAGTGGATTGTAGTAAATTTCAAATGGCAGATTATTTGACAACAAAAGTTCCGAAATTAATTTGTGGAGAAAAAATTGCCTGTCAGGTGCACTCAGCGGCTGTAATTTTAAAATTTGATAAAGCCTCTTCTTACAGGTCTCTAGGTCCGTGATATTTGTTTTGCTAATTTAGGGATAAAAGCAGCTTACACACAGAGTAGGTGGGTTTTTAACACCTCACTCAGCTTTCGAGAGGCTTCCTTCTCCGCAGACCCAACCGCTCTCACGGGTAGTTGCCTGGTTATGCCATGGCTGTCTGGGGCAGGAAGGGCTCATCAGAGGCCCCTGCTGCGGCCGATTCCCTCCCTCCCGGTGCCACAGCGCTGCCCAGCACATGGCCTGCGGCCGCATGCCACAGACAGTTGCTCCACCGAACAAAGGTACAGCTCTTTATTTTTATTTTTTCTGACAGTGCAAGGACTCAAAAATCCATCCTCATAGTGAATTTCCCAGCACAATACCATATGACAAAAACTGCAGATGTGTACCTGTTGAGCGTGAAAGTGCTCTAAATCCATATTCCAGGTACAGTACAGAAAACAGCTTCAAGGATACGAGCCCAGAGCTGACGGTGTTGCACTCGGCAGTCTGTAGCGGCTGCGGCCACCCCAAGCCAGAACCACAGCGAGAGCTGATGGATATTTTACAGAAAAACATTACGACTGTGTGACGGTTCTCTGGGCAGGGTGAGTGTCACTTGGCTAGGCGGGCCAGCATGCACCTGGGAAGTGGCTGGCTGGGCTGTGGTCACCGCTGAGAAGACGTCTGTTACTTGGTAGGGTCACAGAGGAGTGCAGCTTTATTTTTAACAGAGAGTGGTTTTTATGGTAGACATGAAAACTCATTCCACAGACAAGAAAGGACGTGCCTATAAGATTAAAGGCTGAGCAGCTTTGGGACAAGTTCACACACACAGTGACAGAGTCTTTGGAGAGACAGCTTTAATAATCAGAAGCAGGTATAGCAAAGCACTCAGCAGATTCATCCCAGCGTCCAGAACACTCAGCATGACTGACCCCAGGAGATCTGCATGATTAACCTGTTGGGCTTCTCTACCTCACACAAGCTTGTCCCGTCGCCGGGCTGAGCACGGACAGGGAGCGCGCTCAAGGGCAGAAACTGCGGCGCCTGAACACAACAGAGCCTAGTGTTCTGGGGTTAGCGAAGAACACAAGGACTTGACAGATGCCCTCCCAGCTGGCACTTCACGGTCACTCAGGGTTTAAGGCAAAGCGTTTTTATGTGGAGTCGCACCCTCTGTCCCGGTGTGTGCCTTAGTCTGTGGCTAAATCTGAAGGTGGGAGGAGTGGCAGGTGTGGCTTGATTTCCGTCAGTGGAAGCAGCACGCGGCTGGCGCTGGCTGTGCTGACCCTGTAGGCTGCGGGCGGGTGGAGGGGGCTGCATAAAGCGAGGTCACTGGGATCTTGTACAGTGGCCCTCAAGGCGTGATGACTTTCTGGAGGAGGAGCCTGTACCCAGCCAGCACTGTCACCAGAGCTGCTGCTGTAGCCTATTAGCCGTACGCACTCTCGCCAGACAGACCCTTCCGTTACAAGCACCTCATTTTTTCGCAAGGCCCCGGGAGGGCCTGTCAGGCAGTGGCCCGATGGTTGTGTCTAGAGCAGGCTGGGGCGAGACAGCTCACTACCGTGGGTGGCTCGTGGCAGCAGGGTCTGGTCAGGAACTGCCTCCTGGTGGCTACAAGGTGTCCTTGCTACAGCTTTCCTGGAAGAACAACGTGGTGGTTGGGCCCTAGACAGAGCAGACGGACCTTTCTCGCTCTGCCTCCCGCTCCCCCCCCAGACAAGCCCAGGCCGAGCGGTAACGGCCTGAGCCTCTCCTGTTGCGGGGGCCTAAAGGGCCAAGCGCCGGGTGGTTGCCCCCACGGGCGGGAAGGCAAAGGCGGCAGCCATCTGCACCAGCTCCCGGGTCCTGCTGTTTCAAACGAGCGCTCAGGGTGGCCAGCCTGCCCACCCAGATGTCCTGAGAGGGAGGAGGTCTTGGGGAGAGGCAGCTTTCACACGCTAAAATACGGACCGATCGGTTGTAAATGCCCAGCCTTTGGCGCAACAAGGGCTTTAGCAGCCGTGTCACCCACAGTGCTCTAGGCCCTTGGTTTGAGCTCTGCAGACCCCCGCACTGTGGCAGCACATCCAGTGCTGAAGCTCTCTCTGCCTTCTGGTGCAGCCAAGGCCATGTTGGCAACTTGGGAACCTTGGCAGGACAGCCTCTGCCTCTGTGTGGGAGTCCTGCCTGAGGAGCCTCTGCAGCCTCGGTGCTGGGGGCTGGCCCCCACAGGCTCAGCTCAGGAAGCCACCTCCCCCTGCCCCAGCTGCAGCACCCTGCCACGAGCCGCCCGGGAGCGAGCCCACCTGTCTGGGTTTCCTGCTCGGTCAAAGCAGTGACTCGCTGAGCGCTCTGTCCAGGGGCGGGGTGGCCGTGGGGGCGCCCCCACTGCCTCTCTGTAGTCTCCTTAAGGGCCAAGGCCAGGGCCCCTGATCCCCTCCAGCCTCGGCAACAAGACTTGGGGTTTCCCTGGGGCTGCAGGTTTCAAAAAGCAGAACTGCCATGGGGCTGAGAGGAAGTGAGGAGGGCCCATGGCAGGAGAGGCCCCGAAAGATTGCCCGGAGGTGGCGGCTGCCCTGCTGACCTCCACCCCCCTGGGGCCTGGCTGCAGCCACATACCCACGCCTTCCTCCAGCTCTGCATCATCCGGTCGTGCTCCCCGACCACAGCCCTCCAGGCGGCAAGCTCTCTGGTCCACTTCTCCTGGTGGGTTGCTTCTGGAAGGCAGGCAACGCGAGGTCACTGCTCTGCAGGCCTCCGAGGTACCCCAAATGCCGAGGCTGCTGGCTGCAGTGGGTGAGCCCCAGCTCTGGGCCTGCCTGCGGCCCACTGACCTGTCCCAGGAGCCCAGCCCACTGGTGAGGCCCCTCCACTGGGCTGAGCCACGCTTACGGTAAGGCTGCCAGCCCACTTGGGGGCCAGCGTGTGATCTGGAGTGTCAGGCCTCGCCTTTCTCACCTGTGGCTGCTTCCAAGCAGCAGTTCCACAGTTGGTACCAGCAGCAGCTGCCCTCTGACCTTGCACTGGCGCCTGTGTTCCTGCCTGGCAGAGGGGTCACTACCATGCCCGCGGGGCGTTGCAGAGACCCCGCGACTCGGACGGATGGGGCCCGGCGCTTCCTCCTCCTCCCTGGAGAGCAGAGGCTGGCTCTCACCAAGGCTGGTGGCATCTCGGGAAGCCAGCATGGCTGTGTTCTGGGGACATCACAGCACTTGCCACTCGTTCCCCACAGCCTCCCATGTGCGCTTCGTCCTGAATCCTGGTTCGTGTTACTGTGGGGCTGTCACGATGCCACAGACCTCACAACCATGCTTTTTTTTGTAAACACAGGAACGAAGATATTTCCTCATACGACACGCTCTTGTCACTGATCGCAGACACGTTCTAAGAACATGAGCCCTTTAGACACAAGCAGGACTGATGCGCCGAACAGAATTAAGCAGAAGCCCGGTGGCCGGTTTGGGTGCTGGGCGCCCACCAGCCTGTGGCTGCCCTCCCTGAAGGGAAGCAAGTGCTCCAGGAGCAATCTTTTGTTGTTTTTTGTTTTTTTCAGAGCCAGTGTCTCACTCTGTCACCCAGGCTGGAGTGCAGCGGCACAATCATAGCTCACTGCAGCTCTGAACTCCTGGGCTCGAGAGATCCTCCCACCTCAGCTTCCCGAGTAGCTGAGACTCGGCCCGTGCCACCACACCCAGCACGCCCAGCTGATTTTTTTTTTTTTTTTAAGTAGAGACGGAGTCTTTATGTTTGCTAGGCTGGTCTCAAACTCCCGGCCTCAAGTAGTCCTCCCTCCACAGCCTCCCAAAGTGCTGGGATTACAGGCGTGAGCCACCGCGCCCAGCCTAGGGGCAATTTCTAACTCAAAAGGGGGCCGCCTCTGATTCTGCCAACACATGGGGGTGAGTGGGGTGGGGGCCTCACATCAGTAGAGAATCATTTTGTTTTCTAAACACATCCTGCTACAACAGTACCTACACCTTCAAAAACATTGTTGGGGGAGGGAGATAAGGAAATGCTGAACCGTCTGAACTGTAGTTGGGCCTTTTAACTCCTGCCTCTTGTGTCTAGTGTAGTTAGAGTAACTCAGGCATTCAGTTGCCTGTATTCAAAGTCAGGTCCCGCTCTGTCCTGACTTCTGAGCTGTATGATGTCAGGCAAGTCACTTAACCTTTCTGGGCTTCTGTTTCATCATCTGTGAAGTGGGGATGGTAGCAGCACCTACACCTTGTAAGATTAAGTGAATCATATGAGGCAAAACATTAATGGGCTTCCAACTGCCCAGTGCCTAGCTGCTTGTCTTCGA